CACATGCTCCCACGATTTTGCAGTGCTCCACACGGCAGAATTTGAAATATTTTATGCTAAAATATTTCAAAAGTTCATGAACAGTCTTGCCATTATTCAAGAAATTTAACATCGATTTTAAAAATGTTACTTTCAGCGCACGCACTATTACGATATCCATAGTCTGAATGATGGACGTGCAGTTTGGAGGAAAGAAAAATAAGGATACATTATCCTTCACTAAAACTTTAAGTGAAGTATGAGCCAAACAGTTGCCTACAATCAGGATAATTTTTGCGTCATAAGGTAAACGAACCAAATTCAAATGTTGCTTAGCCTTAGGTATGAAATGATTTTAAACCAGTCATTCATTAACACTTGTGTCATCCACGCTTTTATATTTTTACGATATATAATGGGGAAATTTTGTTGCTTTAAATGCTGGAGCTCATGTATTTTTTCCAATTACAAAAAGTTTGCACTCCTGCAGCATTTGTGCACGCCAAAATTGTTAGTTTTGCTTTGGAATCTTTGACACCAGAGCCTTTTCTGTTGAGGTTGCCGAGGTGTTTCGTGGTACATATTGCCAGAAATGACCAGTTTCATCAGCATTGTAAATTTGTTCTGGAGATAACTTTTCATTATTAATGAGTTCAATGATATTCAGAATAAATACTCATTAATATAATGAGTTCAATATTCTGCAAATGGTTCAGAAGCTTCAGAATTAAGCTGAAGCACTTTCAACTGAAATTTTTAATTGCCTTATATCATGGTGATTTTAAAATTTTGTTAACCAATCTGGTGAATATGTGCACTCAGTATTCAAGTTTAATTCTTCGTGAAATATTTTGGCTTGAGCCATTAGCACTGTATCCACCAATGGCATGCCCCCTGGTGTGGCGCTGTCTGACCTATTCAATCATTATTTTGTCATGATAGTCACTTCTAGCATAATGAATAATTTTTCTGTTATTCACTGCGAGTGGGGTGTTGGAATCACCAAAAATTCAAAAAATTCCTTTTTCTGTTTTCTTATGTCATATACCGTTGACTTATACCATTCAATGCCATACTCCTCGCATAATTTTGAGACGGATATACCTTTATCCATTTATTGTAGCAATTCCACTTTTTGATAATTGGACATTGAAATATGCTTTCGCTTTGTAAATCCATTTGCAGCTCCAGAATTAGAAATTCTTTTCGACATATCAAAAGTTCAAACTTTAATTTTCATAAAATTGCTGTAATAATAATAGCCTGCAAAAAATAATAAGCTGGATCAAATCAGAAAGTTAAGGAGCAGGGCAATTTGCTGTATTAATGAAAATTCCTTGGAATCAGTAAAGTGTAATTTTAGCCTAGCTTAGTAATGTCTGCTTTACATTATTAACTATGTATCATGAGATTGGCGATGAAAGAGAAGTTCTTCAGTTAAATTTTGTCTTGCTTCTATCGCACACTGAAGCAGTTACGCCTGAATTATATTAATTTAGTTATTTATTATACTTAAGTACTATTTTTTTCACTTACTAATTATATTTACTTAAATACTATTTTTTGCACATGCTTAAGGCTTATCTGATTCCTGAATGAATAAATTCGCATATGTATTTAAGGTTTATCGAGGGCCAGCACTAGATATCTTACCACCTGATGCAGTCTGGGGGTCCTAAACTCTGCTACCCAATGCCTCCCTAAGTTCTTAATTTTTGCTGCCCCTAAATTTTGGGTCCCAGTGCTTTCCACCAAATTCTAAAAACTTTGTCATCCCTTAGTTTTGCTCCGTGCTTTCCTAAAATCCAAAAATTTTGTCTTTCCTAAGTTCTGCCACCCAGTGTGGCCATATGATCTCTGTTGCCAGTTCTGCGTTTATGTGAATAGCATATCAGTTATTCTTAATTCAAATAGCACTGAATGTATTCTTTTGGTCCATGAGTATCATTAACAAAATCTGTTTCTAGTATATGAAAAGAAATTTTTGTTAAATTTTTCCTCATCAACGTTTCTTAGTGCATTTAACTCAAGTCGGTAATTATCACCAAGCGTAATGTCAACATAAAAGGTATTCATACTTTTTGCTATTCAATTTCTAACATAAATAAAAAAAAAAAAAATTACTTAGACATCACTGCATGAGTCATTACTCAAGTTATCATGTGTTGATAAACATGCAATGATGAAAGAAAAATGTAATAATGATTCACCAGGTTGGCATCAGAAATGTAAAATATGGGTAGTGTAAAATAAATGATGTTTCTATGTAAAATGTTTTAGTTTGAGATGTATGCCAAGCAACTACGGAGCCAAATTATTGATCGCACATTATGCTAAAATGAATGTTTCTTGAATAATGAGGGTTTTTTTTTTTTTTTTTTTTTTTTTTTTTTTTAGTACTGAAGTGAAATTAAGAATCAGAACTCTCCACATGTTTTATGGGAGGAAATCAAATGCACATGCATGAAGCATACGAAAAAAATATTAAAAAAGGGCTTGTTGGTGCCTTTGAGGTCCGGATTTTAGATCATTCTGGATATTGAATGTCCGGACCTCGAATTTTGTACTGTACAGCACAAAAATGGGAAAAAATAATTTTTGTGCTGTACAGTACAAAATTGTAAAAATTAATGTAAAATGTAATGTTTTTGCATCTACTAAGATTTAAAATAATACAAAACAATCAGCTCTGGTGCTTTAGTGGCTTATTGGAACCTTAACTTATATTAGCTGGGTTACAACCTCAGGAACTCTACATGAAGCTATGACACTAATTGCATCAGACAGCCAGAACAAACTAACTTTCAAAACTTGCAAATTGTGCCTATGTCAGGCTTTCAAGTTTGTTCTGATCAACAGGTCTCTTTAGGCAAGCAGCAGCGGTGGCAACAGCCAATCTTCTGTTGCGAATTATGCTGATTATGATTTTACTTTTCATTTAACCTATGTTGTTTGACATAAAATCTTCCTGCTATTTACTAAACCTCTAGACTGAGCAAGTATGTGACAAAATGAGACATAAAAGAAAAATATCAGCATAAAGCTGTTAGTAAAATGTAAATAAAATGTCACTAATCTTCTTTCAAATATGTTCAACTATTATCAGTGTAAAATATGTAATGCTACTTGATAAATTTTATAAAGTTGATTTTATTCACAGAATTGTTTTTATAATTATGTTTATTAAATTATATTTAATAATAATGCATCCTCCCTACATATCTATTTTCTGTTCTTAGGTTGGTACACAAAAGTGAAGTTCGTGTATAGAACCCGAACAAACAATCTTTAATTGAATTTTTTCAGTTCCCATTTGCTGATAGGGCCTTAATTTTTTCCATTAGTGGTCCTTAAAAGCACTTAATTTTCATGTGCAGAAATATGTATGAACCTGATTATTCTTATGTAGTATAGAAGTATTCTTACCTGTTGTTAAAGAGAACTAAAACTCATAGGCAGCCGCAGTATATTTATAAAAGTTTTAAGGCTAATTTACATATGGATATATCTTGAGTTGTCATATCCATAGTTTCAGAATTTCTGGATCAGTGACCAAAACATTAATTATTTGTTCTTTGTTACCTACATTACATATCCTGGAAAGATTAAAAATTGTAATTATTTTCCTTCTCAGTTTTCTGTTTTTCAAGAACAATAGCATATATTTAAAATTGTCATATACTAATCATTTCCCACTCAGGAAGGAAGAATATGATTAGTTTGTTATTATATTTATAATTTTCATGAACTGACCACTTTAATGCTGGGCATTTCTTGTGCATAACCCAGATTTTTTTTTTTTTTTTTAAGCACTGTGTGCAAGGAAAATGTTAAATGACTTCAGTAATAATAACTTCAAAAAGTAAATAGGCTTTTCCGATCAAACTATGTTATAAATACGGTGTATTTTCTTTCAAACATTTATCTTCATATGCATATAATTAAAATTTGCCATTAAATTCCCCATGCTGAATTTTCTAAAACTGATAACTTCTGTTGTTTACATTGAAAATTATATGTGGATTGCAGGCATTTGTAAATTAAGAAATTACAGCTTATCATAATTCTGCTGTAATGATTTTTAAAATAAATAAATAAAGTAAAATAAAAAGAAAATCTAAAAGAGTACAAATTTTAATGGCTGCCTAAAAGGTCTCTTGTAAAATTTCATTGGGTTTATCAGTAGATTATCAAAAAAATGGCCCAGATGAAACAGCAAAATGCATTTTAGGGTACTAGGTGAATATGCATTTAGATTAACAAGGGAATGTTGTCTATCTTCTTTAGATTTGAAAAGTGAAAGATATATAATGTAATTCTATAAGAATATTTAATGTTTTTACTAGGATAATCAAGGCTTACAGGTCTAAGAAACTTTCTGTAGTGATAAAATAGAGGTTTCTTATTCTTCCTTAAGAACTTACCCAGACTAGATTTTTTTTTTTTTTTTTTTTTTTTTTTTTTTTTTTTTTCTAAATTTCTCTATATTTACTATATATCATAAAATTGAAGATCCTGTTAGCTGTAATCATTCCAAAATAATTGTATTGTACATTCCCTTTATGACTGATATATGACTTAAGAAAACATTAAATTAGAAGCAGTAGAGAGATAGTTGTTTAGGGATTAAAGTGTGAAGCAATCTATAGGTCATTATTTTTATTATATTTTATTATTGCATTCCTGAGCAAACATTACTCTTTATTTAGTGTTTTTAAATTCGTGTTCTAAAATTTTCCTTATGGTTTTTATAAAAATCATATATACTAAAACTACAGTACTTAAATATTTTATAGTTTTTATTAATATTACAGCAAAATTTCTAACTATTCTGTTTGAATTATGATTAGCATAGTTCTAAATCTGATATATTATTCTGAAAACAATCACAAATTTTTTCGGGGGCCTCTTTCTTTTCATTTTCTAAAGGTTTGAAATTTATTAATTTGCTATATAAGTGTTATGTTTTCAATTTTTTATAACTATTAGCTTACTGACATAAGATTGTTTAAAAATTGCAGGATTTAAATATGTATATATAGAAGGGAACCTTTTATCTCCTGAAAAGCTGGCTCGCCCATCAATATTTCAAAAGGTAAATTTTAGACCTTTTATATTAATGTTTCTAATTTAGTAAGTATTTGTATATTTTTTAATATGATGAACCCTTATAATCTGTAGCTGAAATGTTTATTTTTATTGATATATTTTTTATTTTAACCCTTTCAAGACAGCACTCCTTTGTTTAAGATGTTCCCTCAAGATGGTGGGGAGTTGAAAGGAATTGTCCCTCAGGACAGAGGTTTTGCAATGTTAAGCCTGACTTTAAGGGGGAATCACACACACAAAAAATGTTTTAAGCCCCAACATCATGATCTTTGTACTATGTATTATTTTAGATTATTACTTAAGCTGTCATGTACCTTAAAATTTACATGCGTTAATATTTTTACTTTACATTAAACTATGTGTATAAAAAATTGCTTACTTTGAGCAATAATTTTCAGAAGTGCTATTCAAATTATTCCAAAGTTTTAATTGAGAAAATATCTCAATAAATGTTAAAATTATTAAAAAAGACTATTTACTAGACGTAATAAAATCTTCGCAGGTAGTGGAAGGCTGGCACTCAGTGAGCTGACAAAATGTTCAGATCAGAATCACTAGAAATACTACTTTCTCTTTAGAAAATAAATTATCACTGTCATACCATGCAAATGTATTCTTGCTCTGATAAATAATGCTTCCTTGCCATAATAAACTGGAGTCAAGGCTTTTCAAAATAAAAAGAGAATTCCGTGATATGTATCCAAAAACAACGCAAAGTGCAACAGAATTCCACATAGTAACCCTAAAAGACCCTGCATAGTAATTAAAAAAGGATTCGGAGGCCTATCAGAAATGAAAATGTTTATTTCACATGGTGAGTTAAAGAGCTGATCTCAGTTTGTTTGCATTATAGTTTTCCTCCTCACTTGCAACAACTGACACCAAAGTCAAGCAGAATGGGATCAAACTGAAGTCAGGATCCCAAAACTGATATTCGGTTCAAAAGTAATGGACACAGGACGCCAACTAGTGGTTTTTAAAAAATGGTTCAGCTTAAAATGCACATATGCATCACCCGTTCAATAAGCTCATTCTCCAGTGATGCTTGGGTGGGATGCACAGATGTGAGAGACATTCATATAGAATGCATGTGTGGAACACCTGTCTGGGAAAGGTTAATAAAATAGAAAGTAAAAAAATTCTGTGTTGCTAAAGATTCATTTCATTCTTTTTTTGTGGAGTGCATATGTGCATGCATGTGCTTGTGTGTGTTTAGAACATTTCTTACAGGGAAGGATTTTTTGCTAAGCGTCTGGAACAACAACACTGTTTCGCTGGAACATATCAGGGTTAGATGTTCATTAGTAACCAATAAACTATTAGTTCATGTATATTACTTGAAAATGTAAAAATCCTTCAAAAGTTAGCAAGTCAAAATCAAGTCAAGTTTAAAAATCTTACTAATATGGTAAAAGCCTGGCTATCCAGTATTCAGCTAACTGGGAAGCTCAAGTAACCGTAATATTTAAGAATTTTAGAAGAAGAAAAAAAACTTTTCCTCAAAATGTTTATAAATGAGACGTTTAAAAATAAAGCTCATAATATTATTAATACTGATACACTGTCACTAAACAGTGAGATTTAGCACAAATAATGGGTAAACATGACGTCACAACATAATCATAAGAACTTGTTTTTATGATTTTATGACTTTTGTTTAATGTAAATCTGATAAATTCTTGATAAGCCTGTTTAATTTTTGTAAAGAAGGATATAAGTTCAACTTTTTCCTCACATTTTGAAAAATGGTTAATATTTGAGATTGCATGAAATGCAATACTTTCAAACTTATAGTGTTCTGGGTCAAAAAAAAAATCCATGGTATGCGACTGTGAAAACAGATAAACAATGGCAATGTAACATGCAAAATTATGATAAGCAATTTAATTTTTTTTTTTTTTTTTACACTGCATCCGTAACTTGTGTCTCTTTATTATCTAACTAAAAATATGATTTGTTCATTTAAACTTTACTAGAATGATTGGCGACATCTAAACGAACTTTCATGTTGGTGGGATTTCATAATCAAAATAGGTCAACTTATGTGACTTAAGTACCCCCTCCCTCATGAAATCTTATCTAATTTTAAATGTAGGTTTTCGAAATTAGGAAGTCAAAATTAGGATTAAATTTCTAACTATGATGAGCTATCGAAGATTTCTTAATTTCACCTTTTCTTAATTACAACTTTTATAATATATATAAATTAATCATGTTTTGATATAATTATGTATTAATTTTTATTTTGGTTATTATTATTTATTTTTTTATTATTATTATTATTGCAGTCACCACACGAGGGTGGCTAAACTCTCATATTTCTGAATAATGCTAGTAACCTAGTAAACAATTAACTGAGTACTTTTATTAATACATAGTAAAAAAGGATGTCAATTCCTGATCTAGACACTCAGTTATTCACATCAGCATTGATAAATTCAATGAAGGAATATGTGTGACAATCTGTTGTTAGACCAGTGCATGTGCTCTGATCTAACAACAGATTGTCACATTACAGCTTCAGTAAAAATTGTCCAAAATCTGTGAATCGTGCAATGCAAGACAGTAAAAGACTGCATATGACAGAATGTATATCATATGCAGTCTTTTACTGTCTTGCATTGCATTGCACTGTGATCAAGTATGCAAAAAACTTGTGAAAACTTCTGCATTCTCCCATATGCATTCTTGCAATATAAATAATTAACATATCCAGCTAGCACTGGAAGATCACTTGGTTGAAATCTCTGTGAAATTGCAGTTTTTCTCCCCTCACATGTCCACCATCCTTCACTCTGCACTGTCAGCCTGTTTGCATCTTACAGTGCATGTGTCAGTCAATTACTTGTCTGAAACACAGTGAACTGTTTGAAGAAGTTAGATATCCTGAACATCTTCAGCATATTCCTCATAGCACAGTTCCCAACTTTTTAATAAGGAGCATATTCCTGCTGATGAGTAGCAGCAGCAGTCCTCCAGCAGGGGAAGCAAAAGTTATGAAGAGACGTAATTGGTCAAAAATATTGTTCATGTAGTCCTTTGAGATTTTCATATTTTGAAGCTGTCATGATTTGTTTTACATGGATACCTATAAGAACATTTGCCAAAACATGATATCTCATTGCTAGCTAGTTTATGTCCTACAGTGCACATGTAAATTAACTATTGGCCTGAAGATGTAGTACCTGAATGTAACAATCAGTGTGATGTGAAAGGAACTGTACTTCACCTGACCAAGCAAAACATTTTTACTCCAAAGGGGCTTTGTCCCTGAAAGACTATTGCTTTCATTTTACGATTTTGCGTCGAATTACTATAAGCGACGTATCACTTTTCAAATTGTTGCCACCAAATGTTCGAGTCCTGCATTATATTTGAAGAAATTAAGTAATGAAGAATCTGCATAAATGAATGTATGTTTCTCGCATTGCTATAAAACAACGGTGCCTAGAGCCATCCAATTTTGAATGACGTAATCCTACTGCTATTATGAGCATCTGAAAGCCCAAATTTGGAATTTGTTTTATTATTGATTTCATATTTTGTAAAACTTTAACGAATTTCTGAGTAATAAACTCAATTATTTTAAAAGCGAGCAATGGCAACACTCTATTGGGGGAAAAACCTTTTTATCTCCAGCGCGTGGAACTGTGTATCAGAAATTCTAAAGATATGCTCTTTTAAATTTATTTTGCGACATTGCTATTGAACTGAATTTTATAGTTTCAGTGCAAGGAACATGATATTTAATAAAAAGGTAACACACAAAACGTTAAAAAAACTCCCCTTTGGACGTAATTTAAAATTTGAAACATTTCAGATTTTTTTTTTTTTAAATTATTATTATTATTGTTACATGATCCAAGCATGGACCTACTCTGGTCTTAAATCTCTGTGATGCCGAGTTAAGAGATGCACAAGTGAAAGATATTTACTGTGTGAATTGTATACTTATGCTTGTACTTGTATTTGCATGATATTCATATGTCTGTTGCACCACCAGTAGCCACTCATTTACTTTCACTAAGTGAAACTTCCTCAAGCATCAATGTTCATTATCAGGTATGGATGTTCAGTGCCATAGCATCTGCTACCAGTTTCACTGTCTGACCTACTTTTCATAAGTATTAGCAGGAGTAGCTTACGAGCATACTAAGTAGCAATGCTATATAATTTTGAAGATAGAGCAGCAAACCAACTAGCAAGAGAAGTACAAGTAAAAAGTAATGTATTTCAAAATGGAAACTTAGTTGAAAAAGAAGGTTTTTGGTTTGCAGTTTTCTCATTGGCTGTTAAAAATATTTTGATATTGGTTGTTTGACCTTCAGTTTGCATCACCAGGTTTTGTAAATGATGGAAAGAAATATCTAACTTATAGTAGAATGTAAGGGACTATTGCAAATTAAAATTAGAATTTGGTTTACATATTTATGTACAGATAAAAAAACTTATGAGCTGTGTTCATGCTTTTTCCATTGGCTTCTGTAGTTAATCAATAACTGAAGTATGATAAATTTAAAATATTCAATCAAAAGGAGAATAATAGTTATCAGGTTTGAACATGCAAATAAGTAACATGATGGAAGTGTGAAACTAAGTTCACTGTAGAATTTCATGAAATTTCTGAAAAGTAATAAAAAAAATTTTCCGAATTCTTCAAATAGTGAAAAATATTCTGTAAAAATATTTAAGAAAATCACATGAAGCATTACATGTTGTGTGCTTCTGGCTGTTTACTGAGGATTTTATATTAATTACTTGCTTAATTAATTCAAAGCCATGATATTATATTTTAGAGTTAATCAATAATGTAATTTGTTTATCGTTTGAGTTTTTAAACTTGTACTATAATCTAGTTACTTCTATTTTCAGACATTGCCTTCTGATGCTGCTCCATCTGGCCTGCAGTTTTGCCAGCCCACTCTACCTTATGATCTTAATTTAGATCAATGGATACCAGTTTTGATATCTTCTGCAATTAATCCCAGTCTGTTTTGGTTTCAGCTCCAAATCGAAGAAAATGTGCTTACTTTTAAAAAATTCGAAGAGGAAATCCAGTAAATATTCTTTAAGCCTATATCTACAACTATTTTCTCCCATTTTAATGGTGTTAATAAGTGTTTCCTTTTAAAAAGTGTTTGAATATATCTTGACTTAATTGCATAATTTTATTTGTATTCTCTTATGTTAGACATTTAAATATAATTCTACCTATAATCTGCACTCATTTTTAGATATAAACAAGCAAAATTTCAGTTCTCAGAAAATTCAGCATAGCAGATAGTTTAATGGCACTTAAATGTATATGCAAATATTATATAATGGATTTATAGCATATGTTGATTTTTAAAAAAAAATTTTGTTTTATTATTAATTTATTCAGCAAGTCCTATGTATCATCTGTGCTTTTATTTTACAGCAGGCACAAATCGTGAATCTCTGTAAATATTTCTTTTAAATAAATCTCTCTGCTTGGATATATATTCTACTGTCTGCGATTTTGAATTTATGTGGTTTACTTGTGTAAAGAATATTACCAACCTTTAGGTGCACCTCATAGCTGAGGAAAATATAGCAAAAGAAAATTAAATCAGGAGCATTAATAAATCTAAAATTTGAAATTTAAGACTTTTTAGTGAACTATTAGTAATGTTGTAGAGACATTAGCTATTTTTTGGAAACAGGAAAAGGTGAAAAATAGCAAATGCCTTTGCTGGGAATCGAACTGCAGACCTCTCAATTATGCGCTGAGCGTGCAGACTACTACACATTTAAGGCTCGCTAAGAAGGTGGGAGAAATACCTTATAAAGTAATTAATACAGTAGCACATGTACACAATGATATTCATGTAGTATACAACTTTCAGTGTGTGTTACTACAGACAACATAGGAATTAAATTTAGAGAGTCTTACGGCAACTGTATCATAATGATTAAATGAAAGAATCCCTAAGCCATAAGTTTCACGGGAATTAAATTTAGAGAAAATCTTGATGCAGGTTTTCTTACTTGTTTTTATTTATTTATTTAATTTTACTTTGTTTAAGAGTAAAATATTATACTCTTAAATTTATTTATTTCATTTAAGAACTTAAAAGTTACTTGGAAAGTAATTTCAGTTATACTAATTTTTTTTTATATAAAATATTTTAATGGATTTTTATGAATGAGTTCTTTACTTCCTCAAACTATTTACTTGTCATTTACTCTTTTTTCCCTCCACAACAATTGTTTCAAGTCCTAATATTATTTTCTTTTTATATAATTGCATTTTTAAAATATTCAATTTTGTATTTTGTAAATCTTGATAAGTAATTCTTATATATGAGTATGTTTTAGTAGTTACTTAAATGTAAATAATTCAGTTTTAATGTAAAACATTAAAGAGGAGAGAATTGTAGTGGAAAATGCAGAAAACTATGACTATGTAAAGTAAATTTTCTAATTTGCGCAGCCATTGATTTCAAAGTGTGTGAATTATTGGAATTCTATGTTTAGAATTTTTATTCACTTGTTATTTCCTCCGATGGTTATTTTATATATTAAGCAGAATAACATAATTTATAGTTATGTTTTCTGTCATTTGTCGCATATATTTATGAGAGACTAACGTGCTGATTGTGAGATGGCAATCAATTATAAAATGCATTTGAATAATTTGCATGTTGTCCATCTATTGCAGGGGTTCCCAACCCTATGGCCATGGCACCCGCTGATCGTTTAACATGTGCCCACAGCTGTGCGATCATGATAAAAATGTTTTAGTTTTCTATAAAATTCTGTGTGAGAGTTTTCTAATTTTTAATGGAATAAAAATTGTGTCCAAGACAGATACCAGCACAAAGCAAAATGCGACCGATCTCTTTTTATATGTGCATGTATTATTAACTCTGTCCAACTATAAATTTACTTTGATAAAGTAAATGCGTCCACCGTCCAACAGATAGGCTAGAATGTGTTCTTAGGGACAAAAAGGTTGGGGGCCTCTGATCTATTGCATTATTTGATTATTTTATGGCTTCTTTACATGCTGCTAGATAGTGATGTTACCTTTAGAGTAAAAGAGTACATCTTGATCACAAATAGGCAGTCTTCTTATGTGTAATACTAATTTTAATTGTTATACATTAAATATAAGCATTTAAGATATATATATATCAAATGTAAATTATATATATATATATATATATATATTTCAGGTCATTTTACAACTCCCATCTTGGAAATAAATACAAAATGAATGATGCTGATATTTTGATTGGTGCCACGTGCATTACCTTTTGTTCTGCTGAATACCAGTGGTGCCGTGCAGAAATTAAATGTATACCAGCAGTTGACTTAGTGAATGTAAGATCAATAGTTTTTATTTTTTAGAAATATTGTTTTAGAATTTAGTTTTTAAAATGAAGTGAATTTGCTTGAAGAGACATATTTAGGAACATTAATTAGACTGGAGAATCTGATAACTCAGAAAAGAATTATTATTAGATTACAAATTCATAGATTCTTGTAGGTTATTTTTTACCTTTATTTATTATTTGGATGAGTTTGATAAGACACTGGCAGGTAAAAAAAAGAAAAAAAAAACTATAAAAAGGCGCTTTATATTAATTATATTAAGTGAATTCCAAGGAAAAGTAGTTCATGAAGTAGTTCATGGTCAGCAATATTACATAGTTCAGTGGGATTCACTTTCACTGCACAGAAATATGTAAATTTTTGTGGCACCTGTGCAAACAGGTGCAAGGGGATGCTTAAAATCCTAATTTCTAGGATTGTACAAGTAGTTAAATAAAATTTTTGCATAAAGGTGGAATATGTTGTTGAAAATGCATTTGACAGGTTATTAGAAATGTCATGTGATTGAGAGAATTGAAGCTGGACATATATTGACACAGACCTTTAGACCCAAAAATAGACAAAAGCACCATGTCAAAGACACTGGTAATGTATGCAGACAACAGATCAAAGTCAAAACATGTCACAATAGACTCTCAAGACAATTATTTCATAATGATTGCCAAAAGAAATAGGAACTGATATAAGACCAGACTGCATGGAAGTTTGCTGAAATGTCACGAAGTTGTCTATCTGGATAAACCATAAATGACAGACTGCATAAAAGTGTGCTGTATCCAGGGAAACCATCATTTGTGTCTTACTAATTTGGGCTACTAAGTGCACATATTTGCAGTGTTACAGAGATCATCGTGATTAAAATACAACAAACTGTAGCCAAATTTTTTTTACCAATGAATCTCTTTTTTTGTGTGTGTTTCCAGGCATGTTACAGTCTGGAAGAAGCAAAACACATACGCCGCACACGAGCCTACACATTTTTACCGATGCAGCTATGAGTCCTGAAATATACAGAGATGAGGTTCTTGATCTTCCTGTCAAGCTGGTTTAGGAGTGCGATAAAAAAAAACTTCCTCCTAATAGACAATCAATCTCATCTACACTAGTGTATGAATGCATCTTGCATGCATTATCTTGAATGCAAAGGAAGCCAGTAGATACAATAGCTCATGTGTTCTCCAGATTTAAATCCAACAAAATATAGTTGTGATGCACTAGAACAGCAACTTTCATCATCACACCTCTCACCTAGCATTCTCCAAATCTTCATAGCACTTTCATCATAAATACACATTGTTACTGTAGGGATTCTTGGACAATCTTATACACAACATGGAGAATTGCTGTAAAGCTTACATTTTGGTCAAAAGCGACCATATTTTTTCCTAAATATCTTTAAAAAGTTGTACAGCAACTTTTCTCTACTCCATTTTATATTACATTTCCTGCATCCTTATTTAAATATATTTTTTACAGAAATAGGTAATTCTATGTTTTAAAGGTATGTCAGCCATGACAAAAAAAAAAAATCCTGTTTAATTTTCAGGTTCTGAGCTGCAAAATCTTTCGAATTATTAGAGTTTTTTATGTTTGTTTCTTTAATTTGTTCTGCCAGTGTTGGTGTTTTTATCTTTTAGTGTGTGTGTGTGTGTGTGTGTGTGAAGTCTTCTTCTTAAAGAGATAATGTTGTCAGACATAAAGACAGCAAGAATTTGTGAATTTACGTGAAAGTTTTTATTTTTGATTAAATTATCGTGTGTCTTATCTTTTTAATTTTGCACGTAAATAAATAAATGAAGTAAATAATATGTGTTGTTATTATTTTGAACTGTTAAACTGATATAACATAATTAATTTCTCATATTTTAGAGAAAATTTTTAAAAAATAAATAAATACAATCTGAAAGGTTTCTGATTTTAAATTATGTCTAAAGGGGCTTATTTTAACGTTTTGTGTATTACCTCTATTTATTAAATATCATGTTCTACGTATTCAGAGCACGAAATTCAGTTCAACAGCAATATCATAAAATAATTTTAAAATGAGCATAACCTTCAAATTTCCAATACACAGCTATTTCCGATTCTCGCTCGCTGGAGGTGTGTCTTATCTTTTTAATTTTGCATATTACATTACTTTTTTTTTTTTTTTTAAATTTTTGTCTTTTTATCATCTTTTGAAGATTGGCAGTTATCTAATGGTAATTAATTAAAACCTCAATTTTTCATTTAATGTTAGATGTATTGTCAGTAATGAAATCTCTCACAGCAGCCATTATTTTACAGAACATATTTTTGGCAAGTTTCATTTTATGTATATATATTTTATATTATAACTTTTTTCTTAATTTCTTTAAGGTTTTATTTGTGGACTATGGATGCTCAGAAACAGTGCCACGTTCAGTTGTGCGATATGCAAAGTATGATGATAATATTTTTACCGCATTTAGTAATATTTTGCAGAATGATTTGCTGTATTACATTTAATTGATTTTTCCTCTTTATTTAGATCTGCATTTCACTGTTTGCCAGTTAATGCTTTTAAAGCTCGGTTGGCTTGCCTCAAACCTGCAAATAGTGTAAGCAAATCTTTTACCTTTTAAATCTGTAATATTTTTCTCTCATAATTATGAAATTTTCATGTGTATTTATTAGTGTATAGGATGTTTATTAATGTATAGTTTAATAACTTATATCCCAATATTAACTGAATGGATATCATTAAATGTTTAGCTTTCCAGCAACTGAAAACGTAACTGGTAATTATTGTTAATTTGTTTTTACTGATGTTGGAAAATGGGTTATTCTGTTATTATTCCAAAGGTATTCAGTTCCCATTCATTCCCATTATTAGCTCAAAAGAGCTATCTATCAATTAAAAACAAAGCTCTTCACTATATATTGCTTATAGGTTTGGTTTGATAGATTATGGCAAAGCATACTAGGGCTATCTGCCTAAGGGAAGGGGTGCCTTCGTGGAGGACTTTCTAAAGAAAGCTGGCTTGTATACACATTACACATGGGAAAAACCACAAAAGCACCCATGCAGCTGGCCCGTTCTCCTGGAATCAAGCCTTGCCCACAACTACCAGTGTTTGACAGTTTTACTGCTCGGCCGCTTGTGGGCTATTACCTCTGAGGTACTGCAGCAAGGACATATATTACGAGATTCGAAGCCTTTCAGAGTGGAACCTTGCCTTTAGCCATTAATGCTACATGGTACGTCTGTAATTAATGTCCGTCAGTTTTTATAATTTTTTGCATCAAATTGAAATTAGAAATCAAAATTTTAGTGCCTTGAAATTTACTGTAGTAGGATTTGGCTGTATTTATTAATCTTAATATTACTGTACAAAAGTGAGTTATTTTCTTAATTGTTATAGTGGTTATCAAGTGCTTAATTATAAGAACGACTAAGAATCTCTCTTTACTAATTAGTATTCATGAAATGGCTGTAGAGTTTCAGTGATATTGCCTGTCACTGTCAAATATGTTGTTGCATTATTTTCTTCCTTCGCGTTCGTGTGGGATTCATGAGGATTTGGAGTGAATAATGACAATACTACTTGATGAAGTATTGAAACACATTTTATTGGCCAGTATTGTCAGGACAGCTCCAAAGCACATTTTTACAGTCGTTGATGAACAACTATAAACACGCTGACATGATCGCACACAGCCTCCAGGTTATCAGGCTTTCTGTGGACAGCTTCACAGCAAACACTGAGGAATCTCCTGACTATCTTGGGCGTTCTTGGAACTCCACGTACTCTCAGACTCAGGCTACACTCGCGATGCCCTCGATGACACACAAAGCACAGCTCCCGACTCTTCGGTTCAGTCGTTCCCGGAGCTCAACACGCTGTATCAACGATGCACTAACCGCGATATTTGAAGACACTCTTTCGATGCACTCGACAACCTACTCGGCACTCGCTGCCCAGCTGTCAACTTGATCGACTCCGCACGGACTGACTCGCTAGATGAGACACATTCTCGCACTCTATGCGAGACACGCACACACACTGACTGCGGATCAGCAGGGTTTATATAGCTTTTGCCTTGTGTTCAAGAACATTCTGGGTTAAACCGGTAGGAATTCGTTTCAGAAGATTCTCCATCCTTCCATGGTATATCGCCAAATGGTCGATTTCTCGCCAAATATATCAATCCTGCCAATCCCCTTTCCATTTTATGGCAATCCTAAAACTGCTTTGCAGGGAAGCCATCTTACTGTGCTTGTATAGTTCGTAACACTGCCCCTTCCCAAAGGACTGCACGTCCCGTGCAGGACAACCCTTGGTCAGAAGCCAAATTCGATACAATCAAAACGCTTTAAAACATGCAGATAACATTACTAAAGAAGCAAATATTTACACTATATACAAATTAGATACACAAATTAAACACATAACAGTTTTAAATTATACAAATTAAAGTTCAGAAAAAATTTCAGTCTCAGTCTTTTCATTAAAATATACCCGGGTCAAATACTTTTCCACTGGAGTTCTCAGATGTGTTTTTGTTTTGCATATCACAGTCTGAAGATCTGACACAGTCTGACAAGACCTTTCAGACTTGTCATCCACAGGAAGATTGGAATTTGTTCACCATCTGTAGTCATTCCAGCATGCTTACAGTTTCTTGGTATTTTAGAAGGTATATGCTTATTTACCTCTACTCCAGTCTTTAATCCGGACTCGTCGATCGGCGATTCGGATTATCGATTTTTCCGATTATAGATCATCAGTTTAAATCTGATAACATGCTGCAGAAATTATAAAATTAAAATATGAAAAACCGTAATTTTAAAATAAGAGCATTATGATCTAAGGGTATCAAAATTTACCAAAAAGGAAGCCTATTTTATTTGTTACTTTATTAACATTTCTTTCAACGCGCGGTGCGTAAAGCATACCTTAGCATAGCCGAATTAGAAAATTGGCAACCAAAACATTTGATTTCATTCGTGATATTTATAATGACGAGGATTTGATTTAAATCAATCAAAGAGAGTACATCGAAATTAAATACTACATTAGTAAGGAATTATAAGCGAATAAATAAAAACATCTGCCCTGAATAACGATAGTGTTGACAAATCCTCCAGTTCATTGCGCGCCGCGACTCCACCCCCCTCCCCCTGAGAGCAGCGTGAAATTGATAAACAAAGAATGTGCTTTATCCATTTTTTGTAGCAATTCGTTTGTTGTTAGATGGACATTGAAACATACTTTCGTTTTCTAGATCCTTTGGGAGCGCCAGCATCGGAATTCTATTTGACATAATCGAAAGTTCAAGCTTACTTTTAGAAAATTGCTCTTACAGTCTGCAAAAAATATAAGCCGGATCCATTCGAAGATTAAAACAACGCAATCATCAACATAACTGAAATAGATAATTAATAATTTTAGTTTACCGTCCGTTAATATTAAACGAGCACGCGAAAACGTATTCTGCACTTGCGCAGATGCATACGCGCAGTCGAATGTCTTGCGCACGATAAAACGCCTATGCCATGCCATGCGGCGCAAGCGCAGAAAGATTTTAGCTTTGAGGTCCGGATTATACATCATTCCGGATTATGGGTGTCCGAATTAACGGCTTTTGACTGTATTTCCTAAACGCCAGTTCCGATGTTTGCACCAGGGTCATGAATAGAATCCAATCCTTTACAAGCAGAAGTATCTAGGTTTAGAATCAAGTCCTTGTCTGGTAAAACCTGCACTATGAGGCACACACCCAGTTTGTGAAGTGGGTGAATTTTCTTGAAATACTGGAGCGCACTGCTTAAGCTGCACTTCAGCATCTTTCACCTCTACATCACATGCACTTTCAGATGGTTCAACACTTACTGCCAGTGACTTTGTAATTTCACTATCAGTTTTGACAAACTTAACAGTCACGTTTCCACTTTCTTCCACTTCAGGCACTTGTGAATCAAAAGCTTCTTTCCCGTCTTTTACTTTTATTTCTTCATATTTTCTTTGTATTCCTTTAATCCTGTTAGATATTTCATCCATCATTTCTCAGGCTGTTCATTAGCTACTTCCTTCATTTCTTCATCATTTGATTCTTCCGATGCTACTTCTCTTATTTTCACATTGTCTTTTATGGCTTCAGTTTCTTATGTAAGCTCCACTTTCACCTGTTGGAGTTGCTCTCGCACTTTTTCTTGGCCGACATTTATTTCTTCTTGTCGGTCTTTCTTCTCTTCCAGTCCGGCTTTCATCTCAACTGCTTTGCGGGGAAGCCATCTTACGACATTTGTACATTTCATAACACTATGTAATATTATATCTAAAATATTAATGCTCAATTAGTATCTGAATTTTTCACAATATAAATGGTATGATTAATCGATCCCTTCAAGTGCTGTATAAATTTAAGTATTCTACATTATAGTTACTCTCGAAAGGAGCCAAAATTTTATGGCAACCCTTCTTGCTTGCTCAGAATGCTTTTTGACAGAAGCAAGGAAGACTGCCAATAGAATTTGAATGACATAGGTATATATATATTTTTTTTTTGGCATATAATATTGTTTATGTGAATGTTTTCATTTTAGAGTACGAGAGATTACTAATTCATCAAACAGTTGTATGCTTAAGTAACTACATTAAGCAAGTAAAAATTTACAGAAATCTTTTAAATCTGTCTTTCTGTTTTAACAGTGTTGATAGTAGTACATGATAAATTCAATTACTTAAAATAAGGTAATTTTTCTTTTTCATTTTCAAGACCTGTGCATGGGATAACAATGCTCAGAAGCGTTTCCTTCAACTTTGTGATCATATGCCATTAATGGCTGAAGTGTATTCCGTTGTAAGTATTATATTTTATCTCTTTGAAAATATATGAATCCTAGCAATGGATCTTAAGATTTTTACCTGAAAATAAGAGATTCATTCTGAAACTAAATTGTCATTAACAACTGTAAATTTTGTGACAATGTATTTCAAAGCATATTTGATGCCTGATTTATGCAAGGACAAATGGAGCATGTGCCTCTCCATTGTGTTCATAGGAGCTTTCAAATAATCATATGCTGAGTAAAATAACTGAAACTTTAAGTGTTTTTAAATTTTAAAGAGTATTTGCCCCCAAAATTTAAATATGTTAAATTTTTTAAACATTTTTCAAAACTGAACCATTATATTTCACTTTTATTGCAAATGATATTAGGATATCTTATATTTTATTATTTTTAAATCAGCGATGAGGGTTTCTTTTGTAGTGGGAAACATTGTTTAAGTTGCTTTCTTCGCGATGACAGTAAACTGAATTTTTTGGTTTTCTTTTTCATTTTGCCATAATAAATATTATATTAATTAATAGTTAAAAGATTTTAATCTTAAAACATTTTTAGGTTTTCTGCTTTTCTAATTTCATTGAAAAAAATAATAAATAAATAAAATAACTAATTTAAAATGTATGAGTTTTATTTTACACTAATATATAATAAAGTGAAACTGTAAAACAAAATGTGCAAAAAAGATGAAATACACTTGCTATTCAAATAACTTTAAAATGAAAAAATATTAAACTATTAAATAATGAAATACACTGAAGCATCATTACATTATGATCACCTGTTGAAAATGAAGTAGGATCATCTTTTGCTGTCAAAACTGCCAACACCCGGTAAAGCATTGACTTGACAAGATGCTGATACATAATCTGAGGTATCTAGTACCAGGCATTCACCAACTGAATCTGAAATTCCCACACGTTGTAGTGTGGTAGCGTTGTAGTGTAAATTCAGTTTTTCAGGTGAAACCACCAGTTTTCAACTGGATCTATCTTGTACTAATTCCGAGGCCAAGACATGACTTGAAATTCTCCAGAATCTTTCTCAAAACCACTCCGTTATGATTTGGCCCTTATGAAGTGATGCATTATCTTGTTGGTAAACACCATCACTCAATGGGCACACTGTTGTCACAAAGGGAGGCACCTGGTCTACAATGATGTGTGCAGACATCAAGAATTGCTCTATGGGAAGGATGGATCCTAATGTGCTGCTTGAAAACATCAACCCGCAGCATAATACTGCCGCCACTACCTTGTATCCAGCCAACTGTGCACCCGGGTGCCAGAGTTTCCTTTGGAAATCATCATATTGGCACTTGCCTATCAATGTGATTGACCAGAAAACAGGATTCATTAGACCATTCTTCTATGGTCCAGTGCCCATGTTCCTTGACCCACTGCATGTGCTGTGGGCAATGACATGCTGTCAGCACACAGATGCGATTCAGGCTGCATAAGTTTATATGCTGCACTGTGTGTTGAGATACCCATCTGGTTCACCACTGTAGTAGCTGCTGATGATTTCAGCCATTGTCACTCTTCGGTCATGGCGACAATGTGTAATAGTCTCCATTCTCCTCTGGATCAAACTGGACGTGGCTAACAAACTACTGGCTGATCAGCATACCATTTCACCATCCATACACCACTTCAATAAGTAGTCATTCGTAGTGGCAGCATGTGAGCAGCGCACAAAGTGCCGTTTTTGAAACTGATGTCCCCGGGCACCGAGCCATAACAATTTAACCTTTATAAATTAGCTGTTTTTCCCATTATGTTGCTAAGCATTCTACATGTGAAGAAACAATGCATTGGTTCATAATATACTCCAGCATCAAGCACACATGCACTGTGGTTTTCTCTCCAGGTGAGCTCATTGCTATAGGTAAGGGGTGATCATAATGTAATTAATGGCTGTTCAGTGTATATTGTTTAGTATATACTGTGTTTAAAAAAAAAAAATTGGAGATGACAGCCTCTCAGTGTAATTTTTAGTTATTGGAGTTTCCATTCAGTTTGTGTTTCCAAAACATTCATTCAATGCTGTGTGTTAAATAGGAGGTTGTTAACAAAATAAGAGCAGAGTTTAATTGATAAATTCCATTATTTCATGTTTTAAATTTTAAAATTGAATTATTTGAGAGTAAGACAAAGAACAATGTGCATTCTTTAGAAGTATCTTTATTGAACTGTATAAATGAAATAAAATACTTAAAAATCCCTCTTTCAGTCTAATACTTAGGCTATTATTGCCATAAATATTTGTGTGATATTTTTCATATTTAGGAGGACAACAGTGTCTTAGTATTTCTCTGTGATACTACTGACGAAAATGACTTGCATATAACAGATATCTTGATTAATGAGGGTTTTGCAGAATTTTCACCAGAGAATGATTCCACACTTAATGAAGCATCTCCATTTAAAAAGGTAAGATAGTGGTTTTCCTAATTAAAATTTTAAAACTTATTGCTGAACTAAAAATTTAAATTTCAGACTATCTGTTCTCTTAAAAAAATACATTTAAATATTTCCTAAGTTTCTTTCCATGATTAGCAAACAAGTAAAATCAACATTTTATAAATAATAGTAAATTGAAATAATGTTTTTTTAAAAAGGTATAAAATTAAGATGATAGGAAAAAAAAATTTTTTTAAATGCTTTTTCAAAATTGAGTTTATGGAACTTGAAATATATCTTATATATTGAATTATAAATTAATTCTAGTATATTAAACATATTAGTTGCTGAAATATTTTAGAAATAATGGCAGTTATCGTGCTGCTTATGTAATCCAGTTAATTTCAAGCAGGGGTGGGCAAATACTTTCAGCCATGGGCCAAAGATGTCTTACAGCATTTGGGCAGAGCCGTGGCAGTCTTCTAAGGTACCATTATTATTTGCAGAAAGTGATGAGAGAGGGGAACACTCCTTCCAGGTAGAAATATTTTAAAAAATACACATATGCCAAAAATGGGATATGTTCCTGTTGGTTGTCAAATAACTGACATGTATACTGTTTCATTATTGAATAAAATTTTAAGGATGAAATTTTCTTTCCCTAACTACTGTTTCTGATCAGTACTTTTATCTCAATAACAATCATATTTCATTATTCAATTTTTAAAATAAAGCTGCTAGAAATGATAGGACTATCTATATTCTTCATTGATGAACAAGCATTCTAGAATATCTCAGCATTGGTTGATCGCTATAGTCTATTACTTTAAAATAGTTCAAGGCTGTTGCCAGTCCACCCTCCCATTTATGATAATTCATGTTGTCGTCACCACATGGCATGTACTTTCTTCACATCATTTAGGACTTTAATTACAGTCTTCTTTCACCTGCTTTTCGTGAAGGGAAACATACTAAATGGAAATAAAGTGAGAAGGGATTAAGTGAGTTGGACTTTAATTAAAGTCTTCTCTTGCCTGCTTTTGGTGAAGCAAAACGTACTAAATGGAAATAAAGTAGGAAGGAATTGAGTGAGTTGACCTTTTTTTCCACAGCTGGTTTGTTTGCATGGTTACGAATGAAATCTCTTTTTTTTTTTTTTTTTTTTTTTTTTTTTTTTTTTTTTTTTTTGTTTTTTTTTTTTTTTTTTTTTTTTTTTTTTTTTTTTTTTTTTTTTTTTTTTTTTTTTTTTTTTTTTTTTTTTTTTTTTTTTTTTTTAAAGTAACAGTCTTATAATACACATATACATATTGTACACATATAGTATACAGCAGGTTCTTAAACTTTTTTCAGTCATGACCCCTTTTTATCAGAGGTTTTTTTGTGACCCCCAGGACCCTGTAATATTTACAAACATTTTATGAGACTCCATAAGTATTGCGCAAATCCGCCACATGTGTAAAGGAAACTGCCAATTTTTTCACTTGTACTGTAATATACTATTGCAGTTTTAGGTCATTAACTTTAGTTTCTAATTTTAAGACACAGAACAATGTGAAATTTTTAAATGCACAACAGACGAAATGACAGCGATACGTGCAAAACAAGAAAAATGAACGTTTATATTATAAAAAGAATGCGTCGAAACAGTTTCATTTTTTCCTTTGTATTGTCTGATCTTTATCTATTTTCAGATACATTGTGTAAAAATATTTGATAATTGTAAAATTATTATAAGTTAAAGAAATAATATCAAAACTGCTGAAATTTTTGGCAACCCTCTGCTGCAGGTAGCGCAACCCCCAGTTTAAGAAACTCTGGTATATAGTTACACATATAGATGCATATAAATACTGGAGCAATATATGTGTACTTGTGCTGATGATTTTAGCAGTTTATGTATAAAATTAGATAGGATAGAGATGAAAATGTCATACAAGCTGGAATAAGCAATTAGTAGGACTGTATTTAGCCCCACAGACCAGCTTTTACCCACTCCTGATGTAAAGAAGGCTATGCTTGAGAGAGTACATTATGACTGGATATTTTGCTAATTTAAAATAAATTTAATTTTCAAAGATTTAAACTGTTTTTTTCTGAATTCTATAGAAAAAAGAATTATTTTCCTTTCAAATGCCTCTGAACTTTTAATGTACGTGATGATACTTGCACAAGTATGAGATGAATTGCAACATCTTCCATTCAAGTAACTGTTTCTGTATAATGAAAGGGGATGAAATCTTTTTATTATAATTTTTCAGGTTGTTAAAAGTTATATACTTTAATGCTATTATTTTCATATTAAAAGTTATATACTTTTAATAGGGAAAAAAATCTAATAAGAAAGAAATAAGTATGTGTAATTTCATTCAGTCACTGAATTTTATTCATGATGGCTGTACATATTATTGCAAGATTGTACAATTTTTTAATATGTTGTTGAATGTTATGAGTAGAAACATAGCATAAATTTCTGAAGAAGTTTGAAGAAAGAGAAGCATTAGACAAGCATTACATGGCCAAGTCAGAAATGAAACTCAAAGTCATGAGTAATATTTTAATCCTTACAGTGTATGATGTCTCTATTGGGTGATAAGAAAAAACTAAAAATGTGAAAAGAAGATTTCTATCTTCATCAATCAAACAGTAAAGTCACTACAGCATTTGTCCCAGGCAATAGGATATTCCATTCAAACTGCCAAAGAGCTGCAGAAGAAGTATTGTTTGTTACTGATACAAGGAAGACGCAAGATACAGATTGTAAGAAGTGTATTTCATTGTCAGTGGCTTTTGATATTTTATGTACCATTCCAAGCATTTTGATAACTTTAGTGATGAAGTTTGACTGCATGTGGATGAATTTGGTAATACTCTGAGCTCTGATGTCTAGATCGTAGATAATTTGCATGAATTATACAAGAGCCTGCTATATCATGCAAGAGTTTGCATTCAGCATATTGTGTCTTGAATAAGAAATAAGTGACTTCATTTCCCTCAAAAGTACATTAAACTCATAAAATATGTGAATGTGCTCAGATAGTTTGTAAAATAGTTAACGATTTGCAAATAAAGTACTTTCAGCAGAATGAAACAATATATCGCATGAATCCATGTAAACAAGTGATCTGCAGATCTCCAAAGAATTTTATCCCTTTCATTTATTCATTTCAGCACCTGAATTTTTTTTATGAAATGACAAATCAGCAATTTTTTTTTTTTTTTTTTTTTTTTTTTAGTTTCAATGCAAGTAAAACAGTAATGAAGAGATACAAATTATTACAAGATTGGTAAGGATGTTGCAAGATGCATGAAATATGCAGCAGTATTCCTAAGGCAATTAGTGTTTCTTTTGTTTTGCTTTTGCCTCATCAGTAATTCAGTGTCTAAGACTGCTGATAATTTGACCTGGGTCCAGACAAGCAGACTGGCTGCATAGTTAATTTTTATAGTTTTCCGTTGGTTGATTTTTTGTGTTTTTCTTTCCTGTTGATTTTTGTTGATTTGCATGTGTAACATGAAAACGAGCCAGTTTCTCTTAAAGGGCCTCAACAGAAACATCCTGCCCTTAGGCAGGTAGCCCTGGTGTGCTTTGCCATTTTCAGATATAATCATTAAACAGTCAAAGTTCTTTTGCAAAGCTTTACATAAATAATATATTATTACTGGAAAACATCCAAGTAGACAATAAATTTGCTCTGCATCAAAACTTAATTGTCTGAGTTGAATAGCTGATTTGAAGAAAAACTTTTTTCCTGAAACTTAAGTAATCTGAAACGAAAAAATCAGTTATTTAGGAGACTTTAGCTAAGTAACTTACTAACTGAAACATGAATTATCACTAGTATTATGTTCTACATGAGAGAGTGGGTTTATAGCTTCATGCTGATTAATAAAACGAAATAAAGAAATTCTAATGTTAATTGTTCTCTGTTTTTGCATTTCTAGATTTATTTAATGTTTCTATTATACAACATTTGCATTCATTTATATGTATTTAAATTTTTAAAAAGTATGACCTGTTATTTTTTATTGTATTCAATCTATCTTTGTTATTTCACAGGAAAATTTTGAATGTTTAACTTTTCATAATGATTTATCAGTGGAGAATATCAGTGAATGTAATGACCTTCATAATAATGCATCTTATCAGATTGTAAATCCCAAATTAACAAAAAGTATTCTACATACTTCATCATCTTCATCTTCATATTCTTCTTTTGATGAAGAAAATGTAACCTCAGAAGAATGCCATCATAAAAATTTATTACCACATGAAAATTGTTCTGAAGTCAATCTAAAAACTTCACCCCTTGATAATTCTTCTGAAAAGGGAGCATTTTGCTTAAAATCAAGCAGAACAACTCCAAATGGGTAAGTGTGTTGTAGTACATAATTAAAAAAAAAGTAAATAATTATAGCTTTAATCAACAGTTTTGTTATTTGTTATTTTTGTTATGTTGAATTGTAGCAATATATTAGTTGAGATTGCTGGCTTGGCAAAGTATCTGAGACCACTGAATATGAATAGTTTAACCTTTTATAGTTCATAATTTCCATTGAAGAAACTTGTTGCTTAGGCATTTTCATATTTTCTTCTAGTGTAATATGGATGTAAGCCAGTTTTCCTTCAAAAATCCTGCATGAAATCATTCTTTTCCATAGGTAAATAGCCTTTATGTGCTTTGCCAACTAAACAAACAAACATGAGATCAATCAAATAAAGATTGTACTGATGTATCTGTATGACAGTGATCAAAGCATAAGTGTGTTTGAGATTTTAGAAATATAAATCTAAAAATGAGAAAAATGTAGAAAGCTCAGCATTTACGCAAAGGGAAAAAGGAAGTCTGTAGAGCAGCAATGCTGAGAAAAGTCTGTTTGGAAGGTAAATTCTCGAAGAAAGAAACAGCAGAAAAAGTAGAATCTAAAGCAAAAACCATAGGAAATAACAAGCAGAAAAAAAAAAAAAAAAAAAAAAAAGACCATAAAGAAGCAAAGCTAACTTAAAATTCTTCGAAACCACGTTGAGTATTTTAGAGTAATTCAATTTTCATGTTTTAGCATAAAACATATTTTAACCCATTCACTGCCAATTTTTTTTTCTCAATTTACATTTATTTCTGGATGTCTAGATTGAAATTGGAATATAAATGGAATCTTCCATGAGCCTCAAATGGAGATCGACATTCAAGTAACCCTCGCCAGAAAATAAAATTCACATTGACAAGTTTTAAATTGATAGTAAATATATTCTAAAACCATTAGAGAACAGGGCAGTACACAGGAGTTGGAAATGGTGTACATAATAATAACTGCCAACCTAATTAAATTTACCAAATTTCCGCTACTAAAACAAATCCCCAAATGGGGATCATGGCAGTTAATAAGTTAAATTATTAACATTCTCCAGTTTTTATTTATAGCAGTGTTTCTTAACCTTTCTAGCGAGTCGCATCCCATTAAATCTGAAAATGTATCTCCACACCCCATTGAAAAATGTGTTTTAATTTTTTTAGTCTAGAAAAATACGTTTTTTGCGAAACTTATTGTTTATTGAAAAACATTGCACATTTTATATAAATACAAAACAATATTATTTTTATTAATGACTAGTCTGTTGTTGTTTGTTCATTATTATACTGGCGAACCGAGGTTCCTTTTTTGAAAGATATACGCGTAAGTCATCACTTGCATTTAAGCGATTTCTCGCTTTAGTTTTTATATGCAAAAGCGATGAAAATCCCATTTCGCACAAGTAGGTGGTAGCAAAAGGGTAAGAGTAACTGCAGTGCTCCGTTCGCCAACTCTGGATAACGTATTGTAACTGTGAACACCAGAATTGCTGCAATTCTAATTGTTCGAATTCCATTTGAACATGTCCACTTGCTCGCATTTCAATAAGTTGATCTTTTTTCAGATCACTATCATCCATCAAATTTAAGTCAAATAGAAATGGATCCAGTATCCATCTCTGAGTTTTGGTAATATTTCCGGTAGAAAAATATCCATTGAATGATTCGCTCAATCGTCTCAAATGTATTACAATGTCGGGTATAATTGACTGTATTCTTTTCATTTTTCGCAATAACAGAATCAAGCAAGGGAAAGTTTGCAAAATTCCCTTTTCTACTCGACGTATCCAAATTTCTAATTGTGTGATAAATAAAGATAATTTTTCACTAGATATTATTATATTTATACCAAATCCTTGCATTGATAGATTCAATTCATTTAAATGGCTAAATATGTCTGCTAAGTAGGCCAGCCTCAGCATTGCATCATTACTCTCAAAATCTTTTACTAAATAACAGTTTTGACTAGTCAGTAATTGAATAATTTTCTCACGCAATTCAAAAACTCTGTTAAGCATGCGACCCTTAGATAACCATCGTATTTCGGTGTGATATAGGAGCACGGTATGATCAGCACCGATTTCTTCGCAAAATGCACGAAAAATGCGATGATTAAGCGCTCGCCCTCGGATGTATTTTACTACATTTACTGCTGTAGCTGTAGTTAGATGTTGTTTTAAACTTTCTGGCAATGCTTTCGACGCAAGTGCATGACGATGCAACATGCAATGCGTTATTATAACTTCCGGTAATTCTCTTTTCATGTGTGAAAAAATCCTGAATTTTTGCCTAACATTGCTGGGGCTCCATCAGTGCATATTGAGCCAATCACATTCATTGGTAATTGATATTTAGTAAAAAAATCTTTGATGCGATTGAAAACATCAATTCCTCTCGTATTCACCTCCAGTGGCTCACAAAATAGAAATTCTTCTATCACCTCTTTTTCCTTCACATACCTGACAAATACCAAAAGTTGGCTACAATTATCAACATCAGTTGACTCATCCAGTTGCATGCTTATTTTTAGTGGACTGATTTTTATGTCTTCAATTACTTGCATTAAAATATCTTCACTGAGATCTTGTATTCGCGATCGTATAATATCATTCGATAATGGAATCTGTTGGATTTTTTTATGTGCTTCCGAATCTAAAACTGTTTTAGCAATAATTAAAGCAGAAGGTTTAATCAACTCTTCAGCGATCGTGTGAGGTTTCTTTTTTTTTTGCACATAAATATGCCACTTGATATGACGCTTCTAATAAAGGTTTTTGAATTGCTGGTCCGCACAATTTTAGGATAGTTCCACTGGTATCAAACCGAGCCTTCTTTGACTTCAAGCTGTTCATGCTATGCGCTTTTTCGCCACCATGCAGATTGTTGAAATGCTCTAATAACTTTGATGGTTTGAGATTGCTGTTTGAAAATATCTTGGAACACAAGATGCATTGCGGTCGTTGCGTGCCATCTTTTTCGGTTGTGATCCATAACCGGCATACTTGTCGTTTTTTTTTTTTTGTGGACATAGTGGGGCTCACTATAATCGATTTAATTATTAGAAATAATGTAATATAATATATATAATGTTCTTACGTTTGTAATATCACTGAATCCTATTCGGCTTGAACGGGCAATTAAGAATGTATTAGTCTCAAGAGGTTTCTGGACAAGTCAGAATACACAATACACATGTCGCAGACACAATAGTTGACTCAACTTGACTCAACCTAACACAGGCGCAGTAGATGCAGATACAAATCTGTGAATCCGTAGATTCCATTGGAGTAGCACATATTGAACTCAGCGCATGCGCAAGCTGGGATAACGTTCTCCGCTTGTATTCCCACAAAGTTTTTTTCTTTTCTCCGTCACCTAGCTGCCTGTTCGCGTTCGTTTGTAGCGTTTCATGCCTTTTCGTAGCGTAGTGTATACGCCCATCGGCACCGGCTCTTTCCTGTGTCTTTTGCCGATAAGTGAGCTAGGTGCTACCAATTTTTATGAGCTTCAATATTGGGGACACTATTGCAGATTTCAAATATTTTATTATAAGAAATTTAATAAATGATATTTAAGGGACTTCTCCCACATCCCCAAAAATACATTCCTGCACCACCAGGGATGCGGGCACCCCCGGTTAAGAACCACTGATTTAGAGTGTATATGGAATTCAATCCAAATATAAACTGATTACCTTTATAGTAGAATTTCGGAGATTTGGATAGTTGTTTTAAACTTGTAGCAAATCTTTGAATGCATGCATGTCATTTACAGACATTTACTTACTCCTTTTATGGGCTTTTCTGTTACATTCTTCTAAAATGAACACTCTGGTAATATGTGTTTTTTTACCTCACTTTTGGCTTTCTTGTATTTCTATAGTTTTTATAGGTTTTTCTCATTTCGTTTTTTTGTGTTTAATTTCAGTTTCTGTGTTGTTTGCATCTTTTTGCTTCTTTCAAGAGTTATTTATTAGGCAAATTCCCTTCTTGTCCAAATAATAAATCTTCCCCCCCCCCAAAAAAAAATTAATAGCTTTTTTAAGGCAAAATGCTGTGGGTCATGTTTTTCTTAGTATAAAATTCTCTGTAAACATCCATTTCCCATTCTTCTTACTTTTGACAAAGTTTACATTCGTTTGTCTGAATCTCAGTACCACATGTCAGTATTAACTGTTTGTGTCTTTTATTTCTGGTTCATTGCCTCTGGAAAAAATTGTAATATTCTTCTCTTTCTCTCTCTCTCTCTCTTTTTTTTTTTCTTTAAGAATGGCAAGATGGAAAATATCATATTTTATAGTTGTATTATATTTCCATGAAGCTTCATTATTTTCATTTGCATCTGTAGTTACCGGATTTTTAACTTTTATTATAGTCAAGTATTATTAATTGTAGATTCTTATAATTGTCATCTAATGGTGTTAAATTATTACTAATACTGTTAAATATGAAAATATTAATCTGAGATATTTATTAAGACTTCTTTGCAATGCCAAATCATTTTTTAAAAAAATCTTTCCACTATGTCAAATATCTAATAATATGCTTAACTATAAAATTAAGAAAGAATTGAAAAAATTAAAAATTAATTGTAATGAAGAAAGAAAGCTTTTAGAAATGGGTAAATTAATCTTTTGATGTAAATGCTTTTTTTTCTCATTTTAGCTGAAATTGGAAATTAAATCATAGAAGTTCTCTCTATTGCAAAATATTGATGTATATTTTTTAGGCTTTATTTTGTTTTTATGATTTTTAATAATTTAAAGTAACAGTAATACAATAATAAAAATGTAAATATGATTATATATAATATTTATTAGAACATTATTACTTTGTAGGTTTTCCTGTAATAATGTTGAGAACCAATATAACTGTACAGCAGTCAAAAGATTTGTGAAAAGGTAAAAGGATTTTAAATTTTTTATATGTTCTAAGTTTATTAATTTTTTTCTATCGAAAAGCTTGTTTTCATTTTCATGTTATTTATCTTTCTGTATTTTATTTATGTTATGTTTCTTTTAGGGTAAATTCAGAAGATGGTTATAAATTACATATTATTATTGTGAAAGACAAACCATATATATCTGTTGGTGATGTTTGTGATCTTTTATGGAGTGGGGAAGAAGCTGAATTTCTAGAAAATAGAGTATGTATCTATTGTGTTTTGAGTAGATAATTATTTTATTGCCAGAGATGCAGTTTTGCAGTATTTTAAGTGAAATTAATGAAAACATAAGATATATGTTATTGAAGTTGAAGTAAAATAATACTATTGCTGCAAGCTATTGGCTCATTGATATATTTTTAAATAATCACTCCAGATAAGAAAAAATTATAATTCATTATAAAAATTTATGTCATTCAGTACTAGAACTAGATCATGCAGTATAACTAGAACTAGATCAAGGAAAATGCAGGTATTAAGCAGTTCCTTCGTAGTGCATGAGAATGTCATCAGTTCTCAAAATCACTCGCACAATACGCTTTAAATTGCTGTTCAGCTAACTGCTAAATCTCACAGCTCGTTAAGAATTAACTTCCTAGTTCTCAAACCATTATTTATTAACTGTAGCATGTACTTTTGAAAGAATCATTCATAGGGCTTTGATAATGTGTTTTCCTGAATCTACCAAAAAATCACCAGTTTGGCCAAAAATTGCCAAGGCCTATGAGGAACAAATTAATTTCCCATATCTTTTATTCTGCTTGAGTTATTTTTACACTTCAAACATTGTTTCTCTTAGAACTGAAAAATTTCAATACAAAAAATGGAGCCAAAATTTGGAATAAACCTAAAATTATCATCCTAAAAGCAACAAATAAATAATTAAGCAAAACAATGCATAACACTACAGCAACGCAGAACAACAAGGCAATCAAAAGAATTTAAATATGTACAAGCATTTACAGCAATGTATATATAAATAGATAGATGGATATAGATATTATAAATAAATTTAAAATGTAGTATTTTCAGAAGTACAATTTGTTTGTAACTGTTAAAAAAATCATTCTTTGTGTTAAGCATTAAAATAATTATATGCATAATCTTTTACATGTGATGCTCATTCACTTCTTACAAATTTTCTGCATTAAAATTTCTTTGTTTTACTAACAGTATACCTGTATTATGCAATATATAATGAAAAATAAAAATCCTCTGAAATTATTCAATTTTTATTTTATTCAATTATTTCCAAAACTTGCAGAATTTAGTTGCATATTTCAGTGATCTGTAGTTGGACTAAATTAAAATTAATTATGTGATGTAATACATTTCTCGATAGTTTTAAATCAATAATAAGTTTTGTAAATTGTGTAGTACCTTTTTTTTTTTTTTTTTTTTTTTTTTTTTTTTTTTTTCCCCAGTTGAAACTCAAAGAAATAGAAGTACCTACAGTAATCCTTTCTTTTGAAAAACATAGAGAATTATTTTATCAGTGTGAAAGGTAAGTGTTAATATTATTATTAAATATCCCATAATGTATTTGTATATCAGCATCGAAGGGCACCTTGTGTATTTGATAATGTGTAGGGAATTTCAGATGTGTTAGATATAAAATATGCGTACAGGTGCAGATGAGGAAATGTGCAAATATGTGATAAAACTTTGATTAAAAATACAGTCATTTGAAGAGAGAATTCATAACAGTATCTATGTTGTGTTTTCTGCACCAGTTGATCTAGATTGCATCTAAGCATATTGTTGCATCAGACTGGCAAAAAGTTTCTAAATGTGCCTGCTAATTTTTTAAAACTGTCAGCCAAAACATTTGCTTCAGTCCAAATTATTATAGCAAGAGAAAGATATCACATTTTGCACAAGTTCATATGCCAAAGCAAAAATTCATGACTAAATTTCTACAAATTAAAAGTTTTGTTCTGCTCCAAATTTGGGAAAATCCCATTTACAATCAATTGTCTAAACCAATAGTTCTTGAAGTGGAGCATAATCCCAAAGGCAATTTTTGGTGGCTTGGAAAAAGTTTTCAAATACTCTTTTTCTTAATGTACAGTTATTTAATATTGGCATACTGTAATTTAGGAATTGATTTTTCCTTATCAATTAATTGTTGTTGATTAATACAATATTTTCCTCTAGGAATCTCTTTCCTTTATTTCTGAGCATTTACTTATATATAAGTCACTAGTCTCATGGCCTTTAAGTTTAAAATATTTAAGAAACAGTGGTCATTTTAATCTTTAACTATTTTGTTCCAATAGATGAACAAAAAATAAATGTTTCTAGTGTTTCACTGCAGTGTGTAATGTTAGAGCATTTTATGCATAACTATTATTATATTTGTTATTATGTATCTCTGCACACTAAACAGCAAAATGTTTTGGAACAAAATCAAAGTGACGTAAATTTTGATACATATAGCTTGTTGTCACTGTGAATAGTTAACAGGGACTGGTTAAGATATTTTTATTTGTTACTGGGTTGTATTACATTTATTGTAGTGAATATTAAATGAAAAAGTGGAATGTGAAAGAGATGGTCCAAGCAGGTCTAAGATAACATGGATTATTATATTAAAAAATGCAGTTTTTTATGCCATGTGTATGTGGCAACTACAAAATCTTACTCAGTTATATATTACTTTAACATTCTTCTAAATTGGTTATATATTACTTGCTAATTTTTTCAAACTAACCTATATAGCACCAAATTTTGAAAAAAATAATGTGACATATTACTCTATAACTCTTTATTCTGTATGTAAATCTTAGATATTGTAATATTAAATATTTATTGAGTTACCTCTGTTAACTAATCTTCTCCAAATATTGATGTAGGTCATCATTGAAATCTAAACCAAAATGGGATTTATTACTACACATAATATAATGATATTTTTCATGCATTCTTATAAATATTCAAGAAAATAAGAAAGGTTTAAGAGAGGGAGGGAAAACGGTTTATATTAAGCTGGGTAGATTATTTTCTTGTCTGTTTAATGTATATAAGCATTTAATCTGTTGATTATGCTTCTTCATGCTTAATTTCCAATTATTGTAGTGTTATTTAATACGTATACTAATTAATATTCATAATTGCTTCTATTTAACTAAAAATATCAACTATGTGTATGTGTAATTTATTAAATATTTGTATGTACTGTTTATATTTATTTGAAATTTGTTTCAATTTCGTAAATATTTAAATTAAAATTCTTAATTATTTTCATATAGTTACTTTTTTACCATACAGTAAATTTGTTTACTCTTAAATTGCGAGTAGAGGAAAACCAAAAAAGCTTAAGCGAAATCCAAATTATTTTCTTAAGATTTGTTTTTTAATTTTTTTATAAATTTAAAATGTCATATAATTATCGTTTTGATGCTGCTATGTATTGAAAGCTTTATGATAATGAGGGAACGCATGAATCCATATGTATGAGAAATTAATTAGAGTAATATTACTGGTTATTTTGTATAGTTAACAGAAATTAGTGCACATGCTCAATATATAAAAGCATTTATGAGAGTTTTGTTTTAGATTTTGTAATTGCTTTTACATGGCTGTCTAAATTTATTTTTTAAAAAATGTATTGATTTATATAAAATGCAGAATTAACACAAAATCTGATGTTTACATTTGTTAAAAATAATTCTAAAGTATTAAAAAAATTATTGTATTTTGAGATTATGTTAGATATTGCCAGATTTCGGTTGATTCGATGCATTTATATGTATTATCTTAACAAACATAAGTGATAATTATATATCGGGTGGCCAACCTGCGGCTCGCGAGCCACATGGAGCTCTTTGAAGAATTATTTGTGGCTCTCGATAAATGTATCCCAGTTCCCTTTTCATTTTTGTGTATTATATTTAAAAAAATTATTATCGTTCCATATGTGTCTCAAAATGTGTTTTAAATTACATACAACAAATATGAAAGACTAAGTGCAATGTTGTAACAAAGTTCATTTCCGTCCATTGTCTCTTGATTTTTCTCTGAATCCATTTGAAATTAACAAAATTCAAGGTGAGTTTTCAGTTTCCAATGTAATTATGACCCAAAAAGCATCTTTAGAATAATAATTAATAGAAATGCAACAAGATCAAGCTCTACAATTAAAATACTATAAATCGATGCCAATTACTGAATTTTGGAAATTTGTACCAGAATTGAAGTATCCTGAATTTAAAAAGGCTGCTTCTCGAATTATTTCAATATTCAGAACAACGTACTTATGTGAATCATTTTATTCCACTTTAAAATTTGTGAAATCCAAACACCAATCAGTATAAACTAACCAGCATCTCAAAGAATTACTGAGAAGGGCGATCGCCAATTATTCACCAAATTTTAAAGAATTATCAAGAGAAGTAAAATAAATGTGTTTAATTTTTAATATTTATATTCAATACACATATTTTGTACTTTTATTTATATGATTTTAATAAATATTTTTTCTGTAAAAAAAATTTAATACCATTTTTGCATAGCTTTTAAATGCGTATTTAGTTGTGGCTTACGAAAAATTTCAAATTTTGAAAAATGGCTCGGACTATCAAGAATGTGAACACAAAAGAATTATAGAGCTCATCATATATCGCCACCCCTGCCATATATGATGAGCTCTATAATTCTTTTGTGTTCACATCACAAATGAAAAGCGATGACTAACATGAACTTTTGATGCAAACTATGTAATTATTTTTATTCTAAAATCAAAAGGTAGTTGAGTTTAATTTGCTAATCATAATGTTGTATGTTTTCTTGCATGTTACAAAAATTGTAAAAGTGTATGGGTACTCAGAATACATAATGATTTTATTAGATGTTAAAAAGAAGCATTTAGTAGTTTGATATGGCTTTTGTATTGAATGATTTGTGGTTAAATTATTTTAGACTTTAATTTTTCATCTACATACATTTAATTGTCTTGGAAATAAAATTATCTTTTTGATGTCAGAATACCATTATATTATAGGAAAAGAGAAATGTGCAAAGAAGTTATTCACAGATTTTACAAATTATTAATTTTTTTGCCCTTTCTGTCATGGCAAAAAATTCATTCTATAAGCTTGATCAGCCAATACTTATTTCATCCATACATTGTTCTCTTGAATAGTAGCTGGGGTAATGCAATGTTTAATCCATTAATTTAAACTGATGAAGGTTTATTCTGTTTACAAAAAATGGCTCTATGGTTATGTAGTACTTCAGGCTTACCAGGGGAGATGTTTTTAAAAATCACGCTATTTCACCCCTTCTTGATGAGGTGGATAAGAAGAGTTTGAATTTAAGCCTTTCCTTCAAAGTCAATGCTAAATCTGAGATTGTGAGCAGAATTCACATGACTATGAAAAATGTATGAAATGAAGTCACTATGATGCTTCTTAAACTTTGTGTGAAAGCATTTAAACTGAGTATTTAAATTTATCATTAATGTCACATAGTGATGTTATCTAATTTAGTACACATAAAAAAAATATTATTGTTTGTTGTTATTATTATCACAATTCAGTATTATTTTATCTTGAAATACGGCCACTTCAATTTCTAAGAATAATTCCTGCTTGTTTACTTCTACTTTTACTTTAATTTTACTTTACTGCTAAATCAAAATTAATACTTTTACTTTACTGCTAAATTACACATACTTACTGAGAATGTGTCTTAAATGAAAGCAAAATTTGAGAACTTTTGAGATTGTGCTTTCATTAAGTCTAATTTTAGAATATAATTCTTCAAAGACTAAAAATTGTAAATGATATTCCTTTCATATGAACTCTTAAATTCAGAGGAGATGATGAGCTATCAGTACAGAAATGGATTTTTTACTGCTATCTGCCAAACAATTCCTATGCGATATTCAAATACAGGATATGCCCTTTTCCAGCTGAAATAAATATTCTCCTTCCACACAAAAAGCTATTTTCTTTCTTTCACATAGATTTTTGTCAGATTATTTAATATATGTGAATCACATTAATAATTTCACATTAATAAATGTTTAATGATAATGAGAAAAAATGTTTAATGTTGAGTCAGTGCAGTCAGTCTGGTATACAAGAAGTAAGCTAAGCTAGAGTATACTTTGGTTTTTTTCCTCTTTTGTTTAAAAAAAAAAAAAAAATGCTTCTGTAGTGTGAAAGAAGGGTGAAATGGCACAATTTTTTAGGTTTTTCTTCCAGAAGAGAACATTTGCAGAAAGAAAGAAAAGACTACCTTGTGATACTATTTTTATTGCCATTTGAAGAAAGCCTGAAATGGGACATCAAAGGCTTTACACCTGGTTCAGTGAGAAGTTACCCAACAGGTGTATCTGGCCAGCATCTGCCAAAAACTGACCACATCCTGTTGACTCAACTGGATTGATTTCTATTTTTCTAGCGATTTCTATTTAGAACTTATTAAAAAAAATCTAGCGCATATATATATATATATATATGTATATTATATGTAAGAAAAATAAAGAATAGGTAAAGGATAAAATTAGCAGCGTAAATTAATTTCCCTTCTCTATTCTAAAAATAGCAACATCTATTTGCACTGTGTCATTTTGGGAAAAATCTATGATCTATGTCATATGACTCGTACATAATTCTGGTGATGTAAATTGAACTAAAATTCAAGCAGCCAATAATAATTTTACAGCAATATTAACTATCCAATCAAAATGCTTTGAGAACCAAAGCTAATTCAGTTTGACTTAAGATTTCATCCTGAGCATTACGCACTTTCTTTCTACGCTTTGCCTTAGCTGGACTGCAGTATGTCTGCTTATTCTTTTTTGCTTAAAATTTATCAAAAATGTAAGCCCTTTGGAACAGGCACGTTTAATGTGCCGGCTTGTGTGTAGCCGCAATGTATTGCTGAAAATAAAACTGAAGATTTAATCTGCCTTTGCCTCCAGTTTCCTAGTCATTATGGATCAACATTTCTTCGCCATCAAAATTTCTGCTCCTGAATATATTACAAATGAGTCGACAGGATACATGTCCTGTGCGCTGGAATTCCAATAGAAATGTCTACAATAACCAACCATCTCCTCAAACTTCCTCCATGTGTAATGGAAATTCATAATGGATATCGAGTACCTGCAAGCCCAAAAGTACTAACATCAGTGAAAATGAAGTGTACAGCCATCTCTTAAATGTTTAGAAGGAAAAAAAGTGTTTTAAATCATCAAGTGTGCCTGTTCTTCACAGAAGTGTAATCATCCAAATTGTGGCTGTGACTGTGAAAGCAAATTTGTTAATTAATGCCTTATCTTCAATATATGTACGGCTTCGTCAATCTATGTGCACAACCTGGTATCAGCAAGTTAACTACACTGAATCGTTCCAAAACAAGTGTATTTAAAGTCAAAATCCATGCTTCCAAATTTAACCCAGCATATCCAGTGATTTAATAAGTGCAATGTAATTCAACAGCAGTATGAAAATATGAAAAAAAAATTCAAATCATAGAATTACTGAGAGTGCTTAAAAATGAAATCTAGTGCCAGCCTTTCAAAATTAATCCAGGATTTATTTATTGTAGAATGATGAATGTTTTCCATGTGCCAACGTTTCAAATCATTCCAGTGCTTTCAAGGTCATCGAACTGCATATCTTGATCCAACTATATGCGAATGAATTAAGATGTTCTTTCGTAGTTATAGGATTAAATTTACAATTGAAGTAGGTGCCAGAAATTTATTTTCACTTCTGCTTTTGCGTAATTGAATCTACATTGGGAAATGATATTTTTTTCTTAATAAATTGGATATTAAAAATGTAACACTGTGATATGAAAAAATATAATTTAATGATATTAGAAATTTGAATTCTAATAATTTAGAAAAGTAAATAAGTAATTCTTAGATTTTTAGTTATTTTTAGGGAAGGCTATTAAGATAAGTTTTTATATTTTTGAAATTTTGTTGAATATTTCGAATACGAATTAATTTTATAATTACTCTAAAAAATGAGTGAAATTAGTACAGATAAGTAATATGAAATTATGGTAAATGCATGTTAAAATTTATGGGTGATTGTGTGTTAAGTGTAGAGTATGTTGAGGGAGTACTGGTTCCTAAACAGAGGTCTGTAATTACCTCTGTACAGTTGTTCCTTTTACTCTCTTTATGTGAGATAATGTTGGAGGCTCTCATTTTATGAGTGTGTGTAATTTTTTTTATATTATTATACTTTTTTGTGTGTGTTGTGGAATGTGTTAGTGCAGTTCTCAAAGGCCAGTTACCTTATGCAAGGAACAGAGGCCTTTTAAAGTAACTACCTAGGCACCCTGGGCCACCAGTGCAAAGAACACACTGGTTATCTCAAGAGGACAGCCCTTTTGATGGATATGTTTGTTTAGAAGTACTGTGAGGCTTTCCAGTTTGGTAAAATCAGGAATTGTAAATGAAAGATGATAACGGTGAAACCATAATTTCTGAAACTGTCACTCCTATTATATTTATGGTGTTAAGTATAAATTTATCAGTATGGAAATTAGTATCAAATATTTATGTGTGTTACATTTAATATGAGTAAGATTATGTAAAAGTTTTATTTTGTGATATTCTGTGATAAACAAGAACCTTACCTAAAGAATTATGATATGTGAACTTTCAAACAAAAAGATTTAGACTGAATGCTGAAAAATCAATAGGACTCTAAAAATTAAAAATTATTTTAAAAAATTGATATTTATAAATTATACTTTACAGGATAAAAAATTTTATGATTAGTTTTTTTTTTTTTTCATTTGCTAGTGCATTACGCTTTTTCTCTTAAAAAGGCTTCTCTGTTCCTACGCCTTTTTTTTTTTCTTTGAAGGGGGGTTGGAATATGTAAGAAAAATAAAGAATATGTAAAAGATTAAATTAGCAGCGTAAATTAATTTTCCTTCTCTATTCTAAAAATAGCAACATCTATTTGCACTGCATCATTTCGAGAAAAATCTATATCATATGACTCTTATGTAATTCTGGTGATGTAAATTTAATTAAAACTCCAGCAGCCAATAATAATTTTATAGCAATAATAACTATCCAATCAAAATGCTTTGAGAACCAACACTAACTCAGAATTACTTAAGATTTCATCCTGAACATTACACACATTCTATTCTTTGCCTTAGCTAGACTGCAGTATGTTTGCTTCTTCTTTTTTGCTGCAAATCTATCAAAAATGTAAGCCTTTTGGAACAAGCATGTTTAATGTGCCGATTTGTGTGTAGCTGCAACATGCTGCTGAAAATAAAACTGAGGATTTAATCTGCCTTCGCCTCCAATTTCCTAGTCATTATGGATCAACGCTTCTACGCCGTCAAAATTCCTGTTTCTGAATATATTACAGATATATATATATGAATAATTATATGTATATAATAATTTATGACTGCTTTATATAAATTTTTTGCATGCATGTAGATAAGTATTTCTATCATTTTAATTGTGTTACAGATGCTTGGTCAAAGGTATCAAGAAAATGGAGTCATATAAATCCTTAGCATTGTATTCTTTAAATGAGTAAGTAATCATTTTTAAAATTTTTCTGATATTACATACTAAATTTAATTGGAATATGTCTTCTTCTTGAATCTTTCACTGGACTATTGGAATGATTACCGAAAGATAATGTATTAGTCTTGGATTTCATTAATCATAGAAAGGAGCTAACTCTGAGAAATTTTTGGCAAGGAAAGGTTAAAGAATATTCTTTCTTCCTTACCATCTCCTGGCTGTCTTTGAACTCAAGTGCTATGCATCAATTAATTTATTATTACATATCTTTTTACTGAATTGTATTTTTAAATAGAGTAACAGATTTTTATGATCAAAATTTTATTATTGTTTGTAAAATTTGAAAATTATGGTACTGGAATATTTTTATATGCTTAGCATTTTAAAGTACTTCTTACCTCATTCTCATTATGCATTTTGTTTTGTTATCAGAGATTCTATGATTAGTATTTAATTTATATCATAATAAAAAAGGGGGGACTTTAGCATATAACACTAAAAATGTTTTTATTACTTAAAGTCATGTGTAATGTTTCCATCAGATCTTTACAGTCCACTGTTATTTTCTGAAATTGCCATTTCCCATCATCAATTTATTACAAAGTTTGCCCGATATGTGAACCCCTGAGAACAACTGCTGTTTGAGGAAAGTAATATGCAAAAATATAGTTAATGGTTATGTTTGATAAGTATATTAAAGTATTTTGTAATGAAATAAATATTTATGTATAATTTTTCTGAAGTAATGCATTATTGTATTGAGCTGGATTGTATCAAGAAATGACCGTATAAAAAACCTAAAGCCACACTAAAATTGGACAGTATATGCATGTACTGTCATTAATTTTTCAGCCAAGGTCAGGCTTTCCTTGACTGGGGGGGAGTAATCCCCCCCCCGCTGTTGTCGTTAACTTCCTTTATAGACAATGCTCATTTTTTTCCCTTAAGTAATTTTGTGAGTAAGTGATAAAATTAATTATAAATTTTATTATAATTAACAAGCCGCCCAAACAGTATAGTGGTTAAGGGAGCCGACTACGATACTGAATGGCCTGGGTTCTCATTCCGTAGAAGACATGGATGTAAATTGTCTGTCCCCTTGAAAGTTATGGTGGCTGCCTATGAGGTGCCTCCATAATAGAATGACCATTGCTTCTGGCCTTAGTAATAGCAGAAGCCTAAAAATGGGTAGTGCCCACCATTAAAAAAATTTATAATAACAGAAACTGAAAGTCTTTCTACACTCCTTTTTAATGAAATTTAGAAAACCGAATGTTACTAGGTCTGAAACTGGTATTTTTCAGTGAGGCCAAATTTAGCACTTTGACTGTAAGTGTGATACAGATACATATGCAGTGAAAAGTCTTTAATCTGGACTCGTCGGGAATTCCGACGATTCCGGGTTGTCGATTTTTCCGGATTATAGATCATCAGTTTAAATCTGGTAAGATGGCATGCAGAAATAATAAAATTAAAAATATGAAACCGTAATTTATGAAATAAAGAGCAATTATGATCTAAAGGATATCAAAATTTACAAGAAAAAGCTTAATATTTATTTGTTTACTTTATTAAACATTTCTTTCAATGTACGCATGCATAAAGCATACATTACGCATGGTCGAAATTGGAAAATTGCAACCAGAAAACTATTTGATTGAACTATTTCATTGAACTATCATGATATTTCTAATGATGAGGAATTTGATTTAAATCATATCAAAGACGGAGTACATCGAGATGAAGTACTACATTTAGTAAGGAATTATAAGCTTAATAAAATAAAAACATCTGGCCTGAAGATGAGGATAATGCTGACAGATCAACTTCCAATTCATAGCGTGCCGCGACGTCCTCCCCGCAGAGCAGCTTGAAATTGATAAACAGATTTCAGAATGGTTAGAGAAACAAAGGATATGCCTTTATCCATTTTTTGAAGCAATTCCACTTTTTGTTTGATGGACATCAAAACATGCTTTCGCTTTGTAGATCCTTTGGCAGCTCCAGAATTGGAAATTCTTTTTGACATAATCGAAAGTTCAAGCTTACTTTTATAAAATTGCTCTAACAGTCTGCAAAAAATAATAAGCTGGATCCAATTAGAAGATTAAGGAAAAACACAATCTGCAACATTAACTGAAATAGATAATTAAATAATTTTAGTTTAGCTTATACCGTCCGTTATACATTAAATGCGCATGCGTAAACATATTATGCGCATACGCATGCACAAATAGTTTGCAGCTTTGAGGTCCGGATTATGGACGTCCAGATTAAAGACTTTTGACTGTATTAATTTTCATAGTTATTGAGGTTAATATGTGTTTTCGTGTATATATTGCCTGTCATAAAGGCATTACTAATTAAAGTTTCATTACGTATTTACATATTAAATACTTCATATTGTGTTAGAGATGGACGATCCACTCCAGAACTGATTCAAAGAACTGATTCACTTTACTAAGCGAGTAATCTCCGATCCAGTGAAAACAGAGTGGTGGTTTTTTAACTGTTCAAGTAGAGATCTTGTTGGGAAGCATGCCAAAAATTTTATTCTTCTTGTGTAAACACTAACATATCTCCTTGGTTATTTACCGGAAACGTTTCTGACTCTTTTTTTTATATGTGTATTTATGTGTTATATATGTATATATGTGTGCTTTTGGCTTGCTTGTGTTCCATCTAGTATTTAAAAACAAAACATTAAATAAAACAATGCATCTCTATGAAACTGACCACCCCTGTTGGCAAATGAATGGAGTTTTTCCTCCATCTGACAGTGTGAGGATCTGTTTAAAGTACGTATATTATAAGTGCTTAGTTTGTCCCTTGGATTCCCAGCTGTCAGCTCTGTGGCCCTTCTCTAGTCACAGATCTGTGTGCTTTGGAGTCTTCATTTTCCACTCTTTTCATTGCTCCTTCTCTAGCATCAGATCTGATTCCTACAGGGTCTTCATTATTCACTCATTTCATCATTCCAGTGCTCCTGCTCTAGCCGCAAATATGGCTCCCGTGTAGTCTTGATTACTCGCCTTTCCCCCCTCCTCTCAGAGCTGTTCCTTTGAGTTTCATTTTGATTCTTTGAATACTGTGTCATATTATAGATATATATATTAGGTATTACCTTTTTCATACAATATTATTGTAGCATTTATGTAAAATACTAAATTATATTTTTATTTATTTACTTACTTTACTAACTTCTTGTAGTCAAGAGCTATTAATTTCTCTTTAATCTTTTTCAGAATTAGTATATATTTATAAATATAATTTTTTCCATCTAATGTATTTTTTCAAGGTTGCAGAACAAATGTGGAAAAGATTTTTAATTATAAAAATGCATAACTCTTAATTTTTGATTTTTCCACTTTGTTTCATTTTCTAAGCTATATAGTTAAAATATTAGAATTTCAACTTCTGGACATTTGCTATTAATTTTACTTCTAAGCCAAATCCAAAGATTCATTTACCTTTTGGTATCATTGTGTTAAATTAGATTTTTAAAAAAAATGGAAATTGCCTGTATTGTCATCAGACAATTTCCTGTTTTTTTGAGATATGCCTGTAATTTAAAAATTAATTTTTACACTGTGCTTAGTAATAGCAATAGAAATCAATTATAATAATGAAATAATGTAATCTTTAACGAAAGTGAGTTTAGTTTTCATTATTTTGTAGCATTTAGCATTTTTTATTCCAAAATTTTTTTGTTGCTCTATGTAGAAAGGTGTTTGTAGGGAATCTCAAAAGTACAGTTGAATGAAATCAAGCCAGGGAATGAGCAGTTTGGTTGAGCTGATTGTACCAATCCCACTCCTTGCTCGAGTCTCTGCTTTTCCCCCATCTTTACACATTAATCTTGATCCATGCCTGTTCCAAGTCATCAAGGTTAGTGAGCGGTGAATCATTAAAAAGAACTTATTCACTTCTGTGAGTGAACAGTTCTGATCTGATCCCTTAAAGGAGCGGTTTAGCTTACCTCTATGATGTGTATCTAACATATCTAAAATACTTAAATTGTGCATTGTTTCATTCAGTATGTTTATGATATATTTTTTATTTGAAGTTATTTTTCTGTGTTACATTTTGGATATGAATAAATGGCAAAGGTTAGCTATTGTAGCAATATATATTAACATTTTGTGTTATAATTTTATAATTTCGAATCAGTAGAGATGAATAATAATTAGGTTTCATTGTTTTTAATGGAAGAAAATTCCGTTTTGCTTTGGTTTCAATATATTCAATTTATTTACAGTGTTATGGATATTTTAAATATATTTGGTCATCCATCAGTCTATGTCAGAGAGACTTTAAAGAATGAAATAAATTCATTCAATTTTATGGATCGTATTTGGAAAGTAAGTAAAAGAAACTCATTTTTGTATCTTAAAACATTAATCTGTATAAGAATATAATATTTTTAATGAAAACATTTTGGAATTGTTTGCATGATTAAAAAAAAAATACTTATTTGTATTTGTTATTTAGGAATATTCAGATGCTGATTTCTGCAAATGTACAGAAAATCAAGTCTATGTAGGTGAAGATAAATTGAGTAGGTTATGTTTGTATGACTTGAAAGCCATGCGCATTGGTCTTTGTTGCAAAAGGTGGGGTACTTTTTAATAAATTCAATTTATATAGAAAATTACATTATGTGGATTATGTGTATGTGGAAAATTTACATTATTTAATCAAGAACACTGGCTTTTGAACTATGGGGCTATGTTCCCCAAGTGTATGAAAGTCGCTTCCAAAGGATGCCTCTTGCATACACTTACACACAAACAGCTGTTAAGAAAAAGTTTGCAAAATGACACTGAATCTATGCAAAAGTGTTTTTCATGTACAGTAGAAAATCCCAGATCCAGACTTGTCGAAACTTCCACGATTCCGGATTTTTTATTTTTCTGGATATTAGATCATCAGTTTTAATCTAGTAAGATGGCATGTAGAAATAATAAAATTAAAAATATGAAATCGTGATTTTTGAAATAATGAAGCATTTATGATGTAAAAGGGTATCAAAATTTACCCCAAAAAAGGCTTAATATTTATTCTTTTGCTTTGTTAAACATTTCTTTCAAGTTGTTTTGTTTTTTGTGCTAACTTTCTCTTTAATTTCTATAGACAGACATAATTTCTTATTCAGTTACAAAGTTCCATTGTTGAAGTACTGTAATTGCTGTGTCTAGAATTCCGACTAACTTGTCAATCGAAATTTTTTCGTCACTCTGTCTGTAGAGGTAGTTTCTGGATCTAAAGTCATACTACAGATTTCACCATCCAGTAATTGATTGATGATTGAGGAGAATTGTCATCACAGTGAAAAATTTCTTTTATATCCTCTTCATTTATTACCGCTTCTCCACATTTCTTTACAAAATCTGCTAATTAGAAAATTTCACCTTCGTTTTACGACATCCAAAAACCTTTAAAATTAGCAGCTATCATCATAAAATTTAGCTATCATTAACTATACATATTTGGCTATCTATTATGAGATTGGGACTAAAGACAAGTTGTTCCACTAAATTTTATCTTGCTTCTATTGTGCACTGAGACAATTAAGCCTAAAATTGTATCAGTTCAGTTATTTATTATACTTATCCCTATTTCTTGCACATATTTAACACTTATCTGAGTCCTGAATAAATAAATTCCCACATATACTTAAGAGGATTATTGAGGGACAATGATTAATGCAGTCTATGTGGCTCCTAAATTCTCCTACCAAGTGCCTCCCTTTGTCTTACCTGAATTCTACTGCCCAGTGTGGCCATATGAATCTTGGAGCTGGTTCTGGGTTTATGTAAATAACAAATGAGTTATTCTTAATTCAAATAGCACTAAATATAATCTTTTGGCCTATAAGTATCATTATCAAAATCCACTTTTAGCATACGCAAAGAAATTTTCGTTAAATTTTTCCTGTCAACATTTCTTAGCGCATTTAACATAAATCTGTAATCATCGGCTAGCATAGTGTCAGCATAAAAGGTTACCATGCTGTTTCTCAATTACTAATATAAAAAAAAAATGTTTAGGTATTACTCCATGAGTCATAACTGAAGTTGTTATGTGTTGACAATCATGCGTTGATGAAAGCAAAATATAATAAATAATGATTTACCAATTTAGCATTAGGGGTATAAGATATTAGTAGATGTAAAATAAATTATATATCTGTAGAATGTTTCGGTTTTTATTTATCGTACAAATTTATGCTAAAATGATTGTTTCTTCAATAATTTGGTATTTTATTTACTGCCGAAGTGAAATTAAGAATAGGGATTCTCCACATGTTTTATTATGTGCAGTGGGGTGATCAAATGTGAATACAATACAGCACACAAAAATTATAAATAAAAAAAAAGTTGGTATTGGCCTTTGAGGTCCAGATTTAGATAATTCCGGATATTGGACGTCCAGATCTCGGACTTTGTACTGTATAATGTATTTTTATTTGGCTAATTCTTCTACCTAAAAATTTTAACTGCATAGCCAGATATCAGAAATCTTTTTTAAGCACGTTAAACACAATTCTCCCATTTTAACTTCTGTATTTTTAATAACAGCAATAATGTCTTCCCTTAAAGTCTCCACAAATTGAATTACTGTTCATCAGACTAGTTCCTTCATTGTCACATGAACTTACTCTGCTAAATTTGAATGCTTCAGTTTTGAAGGTATGATAAAGTGCATAACTCACCTTTGATAACTAAATTTGACATTTTGTCATCAAAGCAAAACCTATCGTCTATTTCTTTTCCAAACCCAGAAATGTCTGAGGAATAAAAAAACTTTTTCTTACTGTGTTATTTGCCTGTTGATAATCCAGGCTTGCCAGTATGCTATTGTAATAGTTTTCATGCATAAGTGCTAGTGTTTCATGCATGCTGTTGGAATATGAGGGTCATCCAGAAAATAAACACTGTTCTGTTATAGAAAATGAAAAACACATTATACATTGGAAAAACAATTCTGTTACATACCTGGAACTTCCTTCACCTCTTTGCGTAATCACATCCTCCATTTAAACATTGTCACATCTGGTTATGAGCTTGTGTATTCTCATGTTATACTCTTCTGCCGCCATTTCATTAAGCCAGGTGTTCACTGATTACCTGATTCTTCAGCACTTCCAGCACTGAACTTAAAAGTAATTATTTTAAGTGCATTTTAGATATTCAGTAAACTGTAATGCTAGCGCTGAAGAGGGTTCCAAGACTTCTCTGAAATAATCCAAACAGACTGTGTTTGTGTGAAGACATATATAGCAACAGAAAGAATATATATTAAAGGTTAAACAAAGAATACTTTGCTTTTGTCATATCTTGAATTTTTATTAATTCCTAAAATTTCTTATAAGAACCACATGCAGGGATATAATATATGCATATTCTAAGTTAAAAATATAACCAAAAACATTTCAAATTAAGTTTGCTGACATGCATATATGCATATGATTCTATATATATATTCTTATTTAGGACTGCTATTACAGGATATAACTATTATTTCTGTATAAATTATGCAAAATGCAATCATCCAGTCAAACTGAATGCAAATTAATTATTTTGGCATTTGCATAATAGACTGAATATAAGTTCTAATACTTAAGGCTCATCTCATAAAATAAGGCTCATCTTTGTAATTCTGTATTATAGTTTATAAACTGTAAGATTTTTATTATTTGTTCACATTTTGACAATATACAACATTATTGTTATGGTATTAGCTTTATTCTTGATAATATTTCATTTTGATTAGAAATTTAGTTTTGACTGAAATTATGTGACTGGATTTTCTTAAGGCATTAGAATATGCAATTATATTACAGGAAGCATCTGTATTCAGTTTAAAAAGTTTGTTCATATCAAAAATATATAAGTAAGTAAGTCCCTGTGGATAGGGCATTCTTAAAATTTTGTAAAGTTTTTTTTTTCCTTCTTCTAATTAAGAAATTTCACTGGATGTTATAGTTAAATTAATTATGGACTTACAGTAATTATCTTTGCATAATTTAGCAGTGATTTTCAATCTCTTTGTGAGGATTTGCTTTATGTTTTTTAACTTGTATGAAAGGCTATATTTGCATCTCTTTTTAGGAACTGAAAAATAGACAGAGAGAACTTTTGCTGTTTTTTTTAATAAAGTAATGTTGTAAAAATAGAATTAATGAGTAACTGTCTGAGAAATATGTAAGGCAAATTTGCAGTATAGCTTGGATGCCTACAAAAAATTGCTTTAACCTTCTAACTGCTCGATTTGTAGATCAAAATCGTTTCTTTCTCTCTCTCTCTCTCTCTCTCTTTTTCATATTTTAAATCTATATATATTGAAGAATTGAAAAATGCACTTTCTCTTTCTGGAAAATATTTTTTATATAGATTTTTATCATGAGAAACTAAGTGACCAGAAAAAGAAAAATTCAGATGTTATCACAAAAAAAATCTTTTTTTAAATAAGTTTCAGTCGAATTACAGTTAATTTCTATTTATTGCATAATATAAAAAAGTAAAATGTATAAAATTTAAGAAAATACAAAGCGCTGAGGGAAGAATACCTTAGAAATGCAGTAATGATAAGAGTTCAAAACAGGATTCAGGGCAAAGTCCAACTTCACAGTCTTTGCACTAGATTCAATAAATCTAATTAATAATAAATCTAATTATTGATCTAATCAATAAATTTAATTAATAATTCAATAATTTAATTAAATAATCAAGATAATCGCTGAACATTTTCTAACAGCCATTTTTGTAAGAAAAAGCACGAAAAGGTGAAGTTTGAGCAGAAATACCATGTACCTTCAAATGCCGCAATTTAGCGGACAACTAACGGTATCTGTTAGCCAAAACATAAACTAAACGTATAATACTGTATATAATTTATTTCAATGGTTAACCCTTTGCAGCACGGTGTGCCCTGTCTGGGTACACCTAAAAACTTCCTTCTGTATGCACAGAAAAATTGAATGAAAAAGGATTTGAAGGTTATTGTAGGTTACTCTGAACCTTCTTTATTTATAGAAGATGGTAGCTCAATACAAACCAGTCCATATATTTTAACCATGTTTAGTTTTTTAAGACCCTCATTTTTCAAAGAAATCTTCCAAATTATTTAGGGTATAAAAGGAATTGTTTGAAAGGAAATTTCTATGTTATTTTTTTGGCTGTAGGCTAATTTTCTTATTCTACATTAGTTTTAAATTTTTACTTGGAAATCTTGCTTAAAATCGAACGGGGAACCGAGGTGTACCCAGACTGGGCTCACTGCGAGTTTAGGTCACTGAGAGGCAGCTGTATCTTTGTTTTTCTGCAGCTCATAGAAAGGTGGGTCCGCATCTGTGTTTCATTTCCTGTTTTTCTCTTTCATCTTCCCCCGCTTTTTTGGGGAGGGAGGGGAGGTTTGGTTATCAACTAAGAAATTGCTGGAGAGATTTTCTGAAGGTCAAGGATAATTTTATCAGTTAGCTGTTTGGTTTTATCAGTTAGCAATTCTCTTTTCAAAGAAGTTTTCTTAGTGCTGCGTTTAATAGTTTTGAGTTGTAGACATTTATATTTTTATTTTATAATTTCAAATTGTAGATATAATATTAGTTTATTTTTTTCGGATTTTTAATTATTTTCCAAACAGATCAGAGAGGGCTGACCATTTTTAAAGCACTAAAAGTGCTACACGAATTGCTTTCAGATAGTGAATCTGATATGGATCACAGCACATGTGCAAAACGTGCAATATTGCTTTTTCAAAGGTGGTGTCACTTTCTTCGAAGAGTACCACGATGAAAAAATAGACTCACGTGTAAATAGGAAATGTAAAATATTATATACCCAAGTTACTTTTTTCCCATTCATAAGCATGTAATCATAATATAACCAAAAATGAGGTATTTAGGGGGTAGAGTTGCAGATCTTCCCGTCGCACAGCCTGGGTAATGCTAAATCTGCTATGGTATTCAGAATCTAGCGTTTTTTAATCATAGCCAAAGCTCTTACTCTTTTATGTGCTTCCGAGCACTGCTCGTTTCAGAACTCTTTTCGAAGCTCTATTTAATCAGTGTGCCCGCGCTGGCACACCCACAGAATTAAAACGATAAGTGCTCTCTTTACAAAATTTTACTTGTGTACTCCTCTAAGCCTAATTAAACTGCCTACTTTTTTTTTATCAAAATTCCAACTTTTAAAGGTAGTGTGCCAGAAAGGGTTAAATGGGGAAAAACGGGTTGCGCTCCTCAATAAAGGAAGAAAAATGTGGGAGGAGCATATTTTGCTACATTTGAGTTGCCTATAGAATTCGCAGGATGAGCAGCCAGAGGGTTAATAAACAATCGTACAGTGTCAAATTTCAAGCCTTACAAATCGGTTGTAGATAGCAAACCTTAACTTTTGATATTGGGCTTAGGAACATGGAAGTTATAATAAAAGCATTGCAGTTATAAATTTTATCTGGCTGCCATGCTGAAATCAAATGATGAACAGACATTAACAAGTGTTAATTTTCCTTATGACCCTAGTTTATCGCACTTTCTACCAGGTCAATCTCCAGTAATTAAATCATTTCACCCTCCAATAATTAACTCATTTCACCTTTCAGTATATGCTCATTTTTAATCTGATACCGGAAGGTGACACTATGCTATGCATGTATGATTACTTTATATATGTTGTATATCATATTTTTTACTGTCATGTAATATTACAATCACAACAGTCAGTTCCCAATCAACTGAGGGGTTGGAAGTAAATTTGTTGATTGCAAAACAGTAGAAAAATTATCATCACAAACTACCAAAATAAAGCAAAATTCCTATGTAAAATACAAAAGGGCATTGAAAATGTGCGAGATAACTGCAGTGATAGCAAACTAAATCATATATTTAAGAATTGTGTTTTATCCACTAGATTAGATAATTTAATTGGACATAATCTGGAATATGTAAATGTTGTTCAATCATCCATTAAAATATATTGCTAAATTGTAAAAAAAAATAATAATAATAAATAAATAAATGTAAATAAAAAAGGTGTACTGTTATTAAATATCTGTTTCCCATTTATTCTTATCAAACAGAAGAATAAGACATTCATGGGCAAAATTAAGAGAATTTTACAAAGTTTGTCTATTTTTATGAAACATATTTAACCAAAGGTACCAATTATGCTACCAATGAATTATGCAAATATTTGAATACGTAAGCATGTGCATGCATGTTTTCAGAGCTATGGTTGTGGAGGGAATATAAGTGCATCTGGGGTTTTCAGCAATTTGTGTGCTCATACTCCTTCAAAGCATTCACCGTGTTTCTCACAAAAGTTGAGTAAATTTTATAAGGTAAAATGAGTTGACATGAAGATATGAATTATGGAATGAAATGGAGAATTGTTGGTAGATTGGAAGCAGGCTAATCACAAGCACAGGTGGCTGCAGAGCTGAGTGTAATGTGTAATGTGTGGAAACAGTTGCAGGACACTGGATCCATATTGAGAAGACTTAGACAAGTTCGACCAAGATCCGCAGCAACAAATGACATATTTGGCACTTCCAGTGCCGAGACACAGATCTTCAGCTTCACAACTCTCAGATGAGCTGTGTGATATCACTGGAACCTAAGTTTCACTGTCTACAGTTGCTTGAAGGTTTCTTGAGATAGGACTATATACCAGAAGAACCCCTGTTTGCGTCATGCTCATTGCAATGCACAGGAGAGTGCATTTAACATGGTGCACACAGCATGTCCCTTTGACCAGATTTCAGCAAAGCACCATGCTTTTCCGCACACCTTTGCATATGTTTGACAAAGGCTTCCTGATTGATATGTGGTATAGAGAGATCTTACAGCCTATGTTCAACTCTTCAGGGCTGCAGTTGGTCCTGGGTTCCTGTTGATGGATAACAACACTTGGTCACAAAAGGCTCAGCTGCTTGACAATTATGTGGAAATAAAGGATATTCGCTGCATAGATTGGCCAGCCAAATCACCTGACCATAACCCTATAGAGCATGCCTGGGATGATCTTGGATGTACAATTTCATCTCACCATTCCCCTCCGAGAACCATCTCATAGTTGAATACTGCCTTTCTGCAGAGTAGAATTGATTACCATAGAGACTCCTCTGTTGACTTCTGTCCAGTATGCGTCATGCTGCACAACCTATTTAGCTCTGTGAGGGGACCCCCATATTAGATTCATTTTCAGTTTGGTATCAAAACATGGATTTTGGACATCCTGCATTGTGAGATTCACTGATAATCATGCATACATTAAATGACTTTTGAATGGTACATCTCTTTCTCTGTTATATCTCGTAAATGTATATTCATATCAAATGTCATTAAAATTCATCCATTAGTTTTTAAGAAATTCAGCATAATGGACAAATTATCTTAATTTTGCGCACTCTTTTTTAAAAATAAAAATATTATTCTTTACGTTTTTAATACAGATTTAATTTACATGGCCAAATGAACTTATTCTCCAAATTAAAATGTCTCAAAATACAAGTAAATTATTAAAGTATTTTTCCGGTAATTATAATATTAATCTTTTTTTCTTTTCTCTTACTGCTATCAAATTTATGACCGTCATCCCTGCATTATCTTAATTGAGTCTACTGTATTTGATATATTGTGTAGCAGGATTTAGTCAAATATATTTTAGCCTAAGAGCATTCAGAAGTATTCCCATATATTAAGTCAATGCTAATTTCATCTCTATATTATAAAATAATAGCATTATTGATCCCTTTGGAGAAGGTAAAAATAGATCCTATGGGCTAGAAAGCTTCAAAGAAATAGTTTACTTTTATAAAGTGAAAGTTTCTTATTTTCTGTAATATGAAAGTGCAAGTTTCTTATTTTCTGTAATATGAAAGTGCAAGTTTCTTATTTTCTGTAATATGAAAGTGCAAGTTTCTTATTTTCCATAGCTGTTTTGTTTCGGTGTGGATCTTAAGGATTTTAGGAGAGTTTTGTAATTATCGTCAGTGTTTAAAATTTTAGTCTATTTTTACCTTCTCTTTATAAAGGTTAATAATTCTATTATTTTATAATATATTTAAAATTCTTTTTCTAGGGAAAAAAAAGTAAATTTCTAATTTACAAAGAATTAGACATATGCATTTATCTTCATTTGTAGATCAAAAGTTAATGCTAGCCTTGGAAAAGTAGGAGCATCTGATGAGCTGAGGAGAATAGAACATCTTCAGAACATAATTGAAAAGAAGATGGAAAAAATTGAAAAAATGTGTGCATCTTGTATGTTTTTTATAACTTCTTCATTTTTAATCTATTTAGTTTTTTTAGCAGTAGAGAATTGCAAAACATATGATTGTCATGATTATTCATATTTCCATATTACTTTTACTGTAAGTGTCAGTATTGTTAACCAACAAAATTTAGAACTCAGAAAAGCCTTTCAAATCAAAAAAGCTTGGTAAAAAATACAGTTATTATGATTCTGTTTTATCATTGGCAATAACCCATGGATGTTCTATTTAGTATGAATTACTGGTTTGCAGGTAACTATTCCTTTACATTCATAAGGAAGTGTTTAAAGGATCTAGCTACTGCTATGAATAAATGCCTTATAAATATGTTTGTAATTTAATTAATCGAAGTATTTTCTGCAGAAGTCTCAGTAGCAAGAATATGGAGAAATGAAGGAGAAAAGAAATCCACAATGTTTCAAGTTTCAACATGCGTGCAATTATATGTTTGCACTAGATTTTTTATACTGAAAGTCCTAAATTTTGCTCAGTTTTTTAAATAATTTTATTAAAATTATATTCAAACTATATATGTGTGTGTAACTAAATGTATATATTTTATATATACTCAAGAAAAACTGTACAGTAATTATATATTTATAAATTACACTGTAAGTCATTCTAAAACATCCTTCTATAATTTGTAAATATGTAATTACTGTATAGAATATACTTTTATTAACTGAGGGTCTACTCTATTCTAAGTTGACAATAAGCCCATTGTGTGAAAATTCCTTTACTTTTCTTTCTTGCAATTCTTGAATGCTTTCCAAATTTAAAAAAAAAAAAAAAAATTGTACTATAAACTCACTTTTTGGGAGATTTCAAACTTTCCATCCCCAATTATGCCAAACAGGCAACAATTAGCATCACTTTTTCTTTTAAATTACTGTCCTTTGTTCTTCCAATAAGTTCAAAAAAAAACTTGTTCTCTGTTAATCTTTAATATATTTTATAAATTATTATATATTTTACTTTTGCTTTACTATGCATTGAATTTATTTCATTTAAACTTGTTTTTGTGTATTTTTATTTCATATAAATGGACACCGATTGTGTAAAGGAGGCTTTAAAATGGTTCAGTAGCTAATTTTGGATGAACAGAAATACAGTGGTCTTCTTGGGAAGAGGGATTCAGTTGCATCTGATCTACCTCCTCTTGAATCAGATTTTAATTGTATTCCTTTCTTATTATATTTATTGTATGTATTTCTGTTATTTTCAGAATTTCTTCCTGTTTAAAAACACCGAGTTAAAGAAATTTCTTACATTTTTTATTTTCAAATTCGGGGATTTGACTGGTTTTTAAATTTCATTTCTTTGATATCTTTGTGATTTGGTTCTAAATTTCGTACTATTTTGTCTATAATTGATTAAATTTTTCAGCAGTATATTGCATGGAAATAATACTGGGATATTTTTAACAAAAAATTAATTTCATTAAAACTTTTCTCTTTTCAGATTCAAAGAAGAATATGTCATGACAGCTAAAATATTAGTTTCTTGAAAATATCTTCTGGGAGATTCTTTGAAAAGGATGATTAGATCTGTGATATTGTAGAGTCTAAATACATAAGATGTCCTCTAAACTCATAATTTATTCTCTTCTGTGATATTCTTACTGTGAATGGGGAAAAGGTGACAAAGAAATGTACTTTTACAATTAATTTTTCATCCCTAATTTAAGAAAACTAAAGTGAATAAACTAGGATATTGCATCCAGTACAAGACCAGTAAACTTTATTTTAGCTATTATGAATATGAAAGTCATTAAAATAAATTTTTAATTTAGTAGTGATAATTTCTTTCTAGAAGGATCAGAATTGGTTTTGATATATTCAGTTTTTGATGGATGTATTTAACTATATAAAAATTGTCAACATTCATTTGGCTGACAGAAAGACATTTCAAACATGATATTATCAACATGGGTGCTTTCTTTAGATGGCTATTTTCATGCTTTAATGTGAACACCAAGTGTAAATTTTACAGAGATCAAAAAATTTTTAATTTTCATTGTATTAGATGTGTTATTATTTTTTGTGATTATTATTGCAGAAATTATGTAATGTATATGAGACATTGTATATATGCATAAATAAGTGCATGTGTATGTGTATATTTATATATATACACTTAGAATACATGTGTAAGTTTTGAAAAGAGATGTAAAAAGCTGATTCTTATATAAAATGCCAGTTCTTTAAAATGAAAATAAAAGTAAAAATAGTTTGAAGAATGTTTATATTTTCATATCTGAAAGAATATTTTTAAATTTCTTCATTTCTATAAAATTATCTCATGAATGCAATTAATCTGAAAATATCACTATGTATATGAAAAAATGCAAACATCCAGCGATAAAACAAATGTATTTATTATATTTCTAAGAAATGTGCTTAGAAAGGATGTAATACATCCTAATATAAGAAAGTGGTATATCTATATGCTTATTTATTATTTAATGCTAACTGACAATTCAATTTGAAATTCTACTTGTATTTGAGAACTAGGGAAATTGTATTAGAACTTAGAAATGTCTATCAGAAAATCTGGCCATTTGGGAAGGGAAAGAAAATAATACATTTTCCATTCCTTTAATAGTATTTCTTATACAATATTATATCTGCCATTACTTGTGACTTCTTGCCAGCATAATGATAATTTGTAAATACCATTTTTTAAAAATGTTGTGTTCTTATATTCAAAGAACTGAAAGTAGTGCTGTTCAGATATATACTTCAGTTTTGAATTTTTTTCTTGGAGGGTGCTAGATCTGAGGAGTATGATAATTGTTGTAGAATTTCTCAACCTAGATCTGCAACTTTCAGATGAGTTGCCAAAGCAGCATATGATAAGGCATTATCATGATGCAGTATAATGAGCTTCCTGTTTAACCTGCCAGCCTCTTCTCTTTGACTACTTTTTCTAAATCATCTGTTTACTACTACAGTACAAAGTCTTTAATCTGGACTCGTCGGGACTTCGGCGATTCCGGATTAGGGGTTTTTTTGGATTTTAGATCATCAATTTAAATCTGGTAAGATGGCATGCAGAAATTATAAAATTAAAATATGAAACCATAATTTATGAATTAAAGAGCAATTATGACCAAAAGGTATCAAATGTTATAAAAAAAAGCTTAATATTTATTTGTTTACTTTATTAAACATTTCTTTCGATGTAAGTTGTTTAAGTTGCTTCATTTTATGTGCTAATACTTTCTCTTTAATTCTATAAACAGACATAATTTCTTGTTCAGTTACAAAGTTCCGCTGTTCAAGTCCTGTAATTGCTGTGCCGAGAATACCGACTAACTTGTCAATAGAATTTTTTCGTTTTCACTAACCTCTCTGTCACTTTCTTCATGCCTTTATCCATTTTTTGCAGCAATTCCACTTTTTGTTTGATGGACATTGAAACATGCTTTCGCTTTGTAGATCCTTTGGCAGCTCCAGAATCGGAAACTCTTTTTGACATAATCGAAAGTTCAAGCTTACTTTTTATAAAATTGGTCTAACAGTCTGCAAAAAATAATGAAGCAGATCCAATTAGAAGATTAAGTAACAACGCAATCTGCAACATTAACTGAAATAGATAATTAGATAATTTTAGCCTAGCTTATACCGTCCATTATACATTAAACGTGCATGCCTAAACATATTATGCGCATGCATAAATGCTACACATGTGCAGAAAGTTTGTAGCTTTGAGGTCCGGATTATAGATCATTCTGGATTATGGACGTCCGGATTAAAGACTTTGTACTGTAGTACCTCTCTGAATTTATTTTTTCATTAGATTTCAAAAGCTCATAATGTGTTGTTCTCTGGACGTCCCACCATATACACAACATTCTATTCTTCATTATTCAGGCTTCATATCAATTTAGAGGTAGAGGGGATAGGTTGTCCAGACTCAAAGTGTGCTCTTTTTTTAACAGTATTTTCACAGGGGCATCATCATGAGTTATGAGCTATCATCTGGTCCAAGAAGGGTTCATTTTTGTTCTGAACAATCAAAGATGTTTATGTGACAATTAATTCATGCAAATTTTTCTCAGTTAATTCATAAGGCACCTATCTGGAATGTTTATAGACTAAGCCAAGTTTCCGAGCATGGTCCGAAATGGTTGAGTTAAATTAAGCTTTTCTGCAATCTCCAATGTTGTCAGAAAAGGATCTTGTTGTATTGTAGTCTTAAGAATATCATCATTGGTCAGATATAACTGCCCAGCATGCAGCTTATCATTAACCTTTCAACAGTTGTAAGATTAAGCAATTCTTTCTTTCCAAATACACACGATATATGTCAGTCGTAAATTTGTAATGCAATTTCATTTGTGCCCACTGCAGTGCATAACTGGAATGTAAGCTGAACTCATTTGTGCCCATCAAAAGGTTAAGGCAAAATCGCTTCAAATTTTTCAAACCATTTCCTGCATATTCTATAACTGCATCTCCACCAAAAACTTCTTAATCTTTACATGTTTCTATAGCATTTCTTCCTTGTTAGAATTTGTATAAAATACAGTGGAAGAGAAAAAAACATAGTGAAAATAAATAATAGGCAGATCTTTTGAGGAAGATAAAAACTATTTTGTAAAAATGCAATCAAAGTGTTTATGTTGTAAATGAACTTTATCAGTAGCCATGTTTACACAATCGCATCTAATTTAAAAATGATAGAAACTTCTTGTTTCAGTTAATTTAGAAGAGCACATGGGTATAAATGCAGTGATAAAGAAAGACAGCTATATATGTCTGAAATGAAGATATACATATGCGTTGAAATTTGAAATAATATTATCAGACAGAACTTTCCGATAGACCTTATGCATCCTGGACTTTAGAGAGAAGTTTCCATGAGACAGGCAAAATAACTTCAAACATATAGAGATTTTCAATATCCACATTGATACACATATTTGAATAGTACTAAGCTCATGCTACAAATGTTGCATATCTTTCATATTTACCATTATAAGAAGCTCATATGAAAGATGTGTTACAGCAGGAAGAAATTAAATGATACGTATTCTTCTATGTGGAAACAAAGAATGAATTATTGATAACCAAAAATCTGAAGGATGGGGGTTGTGATTCTAAGAATATTTTGATTTTGTTTCCAATGGTGTAAGCTGTGAGTTTTTACCGTGTGTATAATTAATACTGTTATTAAAATTATGTAAATATTTTGTGGCAATCAAAATTAGGTCTCATTTCTATTTCCTTATGAATGTCTGGTATAGAGTCTTTGCTGCATAGCAGGGATGTCCAGTTTTTCTGGGCTTTTGAAACACATAGACTAAAGAAAAATGAGGAAATCTTCCAACAAAAATCGAAGACATGAACCTTACCATATCTAATAAAATTGTATTCACTTTTTAAGGAAAAAGTATATATATATCATATATTTAATGTATATGTAAAGTTTTACTTAGTTTTGTTAATGCTTCTCTATCTCATTTGATAGATGGAGTAGCAACAGTAGAATATGTATTCAAAATATTCATCTGAAATTTTTGCTCTTATTTTTCTTTTTCTATGCTGCACATAGAAAAAAAGTTGTTTGTAAACATACTTACTTTCAAAAGGAAATATCACAACCAAGAATTGCTTATGAAATGCATGATATTTTTCTGAAAATAGGGCAAATTTTTCTATTTAAGTAAATGTTCTGTGCATAATTTATCTAATTTTTATGTTAAATATTCCAAATACTCATAGTAGTTTTGAAGGCAACTGAGAATGAAGCAGCTAATGTACTGAAATTTATTCAAGTCATCTGAAATTTTAAAATCTATTCTATATGTCTTCTCCTTAGAAATCAATCAGTGCTGTGTATTTTTCACTATTTGTAAGACTTTTACCCATATACTTCAGGGGCAAATTGCATTTTTGCTGTTAGCATCAAACTGCTGAAATTTCAGTTTCACTTTTAATGTTGTTTTTTCAAGCATAATTTATTAGTTGCTTTTATCTTTACGCATGAAAAATAATGCAACTAGTTTTTATTTTAAATTTAATCTAGCATATTCACACCATTTCATTTATTTTTTAAGTACATACAGTGGAAAAAATGGTGGACGTGCATACTGTATTTTTATGCTAGGAAAACCTTACTCAACTTGCATTTAAGAACTGTTGTTGTACTTCTATTTTTTGGAGGAGAGGGGTGAACAATACTACTTATGGTAAACCCATTGCTAGACAAGTTATTTATGGTAGACGATACTTTGTAGTCATTTTATTTTTAAAATAATGCGTTTTATTATGCATAATTCTGTGTTTTAAATATTATTTATGGCTTCTAAATATTTAAAACCTAAATACGGTATGATCAGCACCGATTTCTTCGCAAAATGCATGAAAAATGCGATGATTAAGCGCTCGCCCTCGGATGTATTTTACTACATTTACTGCTGTAGGCTGTAGTTAGATGTTGTTTTAAACTTTCTGGCAATGCTTTCAATGCAAGTGCATGACGATGCAACATGCAATGCGTTATTATAACTTCCGGTAATTCTCTTTCCATGTGTGAAAAAAATCCTGAATTTTTGTCTAGCATTGCAGGGGCTCCATCAGTGCATATTGAGCCAATCGCATTCCTTGGTAATTGATATTTAGTAAAAAAAATCTCTGATGCGATTGAAAACATCAATTCCTTTCGTATTCACCTCCAGTGGCTCACAAAATAGAAATTCTTCTATCACCTCTTTCTCCTTCACATACCTGACAAATACCAAAAGTTGGCTACAATTATCAACATCAGTTGACTCATCCAGTTGCATGCTTATTTTTAGTGGACTGATTTTTCTGTCTTCAATTACTTGCATTAAAATATCTTCACTGAGATCTTGTATTCGCGATCGTATATCATTCGATAATGGAATCTGTTTGATTTTTTTATGTGCTTCCGAATCTAAAACTGTTTTAGCAATAATTAAAGCAGAAGTTTTAATCAACTCTTCAGTGATCGTGTGAGGTTTTTTTTTTTTTTTTTTTTTTGTTTGTTTGTTTGTTTGCACATAAATATGCCACTTGATATGATGCTTCTAATAAAGGTTTTTGAATTGCTGGTCCGCAGAATTTTAGGATAGTTCCACTGGTATCAAAGCGAGCCTTCTTTGACTTCAAGCTGTTCATGCTATGTGCTTTTTCGTCACCATGCAGATTGTTGAAATGCTCTAATAATAAAAATATATACCATGCAGATTGTTGAAATGCTCTAATA